AAATTTTAATCAGATATAGTACACCATAAAAATTTGTCTTTATTTCAAGATCTGAAATATGCATACTATCCTCGACTGCTGGTCTCTGCTTTTCTTCCAAAGACTTCCTTAGGGCTGCTGTATTTATTGGCAGCAACACAGGCATAAGATGCACCTCCCTATTACTATTTTCACAGTATAATATAGAAAAATATATTCAAGCTGACATTTTTAGTTTCTTGTGGGAAGGATCTTACATTTGATATTGCTATTAACTCTTTCTGTAAAACTGTTTATGAAATCTATTTTTTAGTATACATTAACTAATAGTATCTTGGAATGGATGTTTGTATTATTCTGTGATGTATTTCTGAACAGTAGCTAAATAAAATATGCTGTCTCCCATGGCATTAACATGCCACCTGATGGTTCTTATGACTACAGTTCACTTACTTGCTACAATCTTCCCAGATAGTGATGAGCTAAACAATGTGATTATAAATACCAGAAATAAATAAAATTAATGAGTAGTCAAATGTTCTCAGACATCAAATTTTAAATGAGGAGATTAAATTGTAGTGATATAACATTCAGAAACACAGTAAAGGGGAAGAAAAAATGATTTTGTTATAGTAATTCTGATTAATATTCTGGTTTATAAGAAAAAAGATATTGTTTAGCCATTGTTAACTATTCCAAGAAATATAAATATTCCAGAATAATAAAAACAATCGTTTTGGGATATTATTAGTTAATGTTTAATGAAATATTATCACTTTTAAATGTTTAGATAAACTAGTGGTTTGAGTGGTAAAATGACTCTAATCAATTTCAGTTCCTATACCTAAAAAGAATTTACGATTGTTGCTGCATGTAAAAGAACATCTTCAAAACTCATAAAAAAACAAACTTCAAAATTGTTTCATTGGTAGTGAAAAAATATAATTAATTAAACTGTCACTTTCACCAAAAAGTGCATGTATTTTAAAAATAATATGTTATTTTTTGAGTTGCCTTGATATTCTACAATACTTGTCTTCAATAAGTTTAATGTCAAATTTTATTTATCTAAATGTGGTTAGGTCACAGTGTATTTAGATAATTACCAGTCTGCTGCATCGTATTCAAACTGTATGATATGTTATCCATAAGTATGTTATCTGAAATGCATGCCACCAGACATCAGCATTCACTTAACTCGTAGTTATTTGGAATGCTATCATGTTTCTCATATTTTGAAACTGTACGATTGTTCAAAGCAATAGAAGGTCTTAATTGACTTCAGAACTCATTCTGTTTAACATAACACAGCAGAATTTTTCTGGGAACAAATATACGTATGTATCGCATTTTTCTTGCTAGTGACCTTGAAATTAGGTTTATTTCTATCTTTACATTTCTTGTTGCTTACCACCTTATCATTTCTTATTACTTAATTTTGAAACATTCTGATTCATTATGCAGTCAAATACCGAAATTCCGCCGACCTGAAATCCGCGCTGCCTCTCAAAATATAAACATTCAGTTTATAGGTTCCGGAAACCGCAACATTGAGTACAAAATATCGAAGAAAAAATACTTACCGAATAATAATGAGTCATAAAGGAAATAACAAATTATTGACATCATGATAAAATTTTTTTACCCTCTAATCTGCATCGAGGTTAAAAAACAGACGATTCACTCAACTCTTCTTTCAAGTTCATGATTCACGTTGTTGTATTTTCTGAGCTTTGTTATTTCACGAGATTATTTAGTGCTGCCTTTTTTTATCCGGATATTTTGTGGATAAATTAAGAATATTTTAAATTTCAGCCCTTTTTAATACAATGACAGATAAGAAACACTCTCATGATTTTACTGCTTGCAATGTTGAAAAACATAAACATGTTGCATTAACGGTAATGCAAAAAGTAGAAATTCTGCAAAAGATGAAGGCAGGTTCCACTCTTCGGTTTATAACAGAATCGAATGGAATTACGACACACTTGTGTATGATATACGGAACAAATAAAGAAAAGCTATTGAAATTTTACAGCAACAGTGATTCTAACACCAGAATCCGAAACCAAAAATCTTTGCATGAGGCAAAATTGGCAAACCTGGATGCTGTGTACATATAATACAATGAATAATATAATCAATTTATATATGCAATAATAATTTAACGTATATAACAAATTATTGCAATAATGTTTAATAATTTATTTAAATGCATCTAATACACCTTATTTATTTTGCACTTATCTTTTGAGTCTAAATATTATGATTTATCTTTTCTGTCTTGAAATCTGCAAAATCCTAAAATCCGCATAACCTCTGGTCCCAAGCGAATTTCTGGACTTCTACTGTACTATGATTGTTTTCTAGATAAAAACTTGTGTTAAAACTAATTATTTAAAGGTATTGCATTAATTTTCTTTATTTAAAGAAATTAAATAATGAAGAATCTGCATAAATGTATGTATTTTTCTTGCATTGTGATAAAACAATGGTACCTAGAGCCATCATATTTTTGAATAAAGTAATCTTCCGCTGAATATGGGCATCTGGAAGCTCTAATTTGAAGTTTGTTTTATTATTAATTTCTTATTTTGTAACACTTTAACAAATTTTTGATTAGCAAACTTAACGATTTCAAAGCGAGCAATGACAACACTGTGCGTAAAAAATTTTTTTATCTTCAGCACGCAAGACTGTATCGGAAATTCTAAAAATATGCTCCTTTTAAAATTATTTTGCGATATTGCTGTTGAATTGATTTTTATGGTTTAAGTGCCAAGAACATGATATTTGATAAATAAAGGTAACACACAAAACGATAAAAATGTGCCCCTTTTGTATTTAATGTAAAATCTGAAAGCTTTTGGATTTTATTTTTTGTTTACTTATTTTTTAACATGGCAGCTGATATATTTTGATTTAAAACTTTTTAAATATGTTCAAATCCATCAGATTAGAATAACTTTTAATTTCTCATCTGAAAGAAGCTTTTCCTATCATTGAAATTTTTAATAATATGGATTTTCGTAGTCTTCTACGACTTCAACTTATTTTAAGCTGCACTAAAACTCCTTAAGTTTTAGTTTTGACTGGAAATTAAGCAAAGCTAAATTGAGAACTACAAAATTGCTTATGAAAGTTTGCATTAAATTTGATTAAAAAATGTAACTTTATACTGAAAGTTGATCTTGCATGGCTGCTGATCTCTTGGTTTTCCATAATATCTCCCACCCTTCCAGCAGATGGTTAGACCTTCTGGTTTTAAATTATCATTAAGGAAACTATTTCCCAGCTGTAAATGTAATTTAAATTGGGCAAATTCCATTTTCCCATACAATGATTTTTCAGCATAATTTTTCTTATTACATTTTATTTGATATGAATTATTATAATCTGCTATGAACATTCATAGAACTTTCGTGAAGACTCAAGCAATGTTTAATTAATACTTGTATTTATTTTACATCAATAAATGGTACATAAGTTTATCTATGTGATCATATGTGCATTAAGTATTAATTTTATTTTCATTGTATTTAAATGTACTTTAACGAAGAAAGGCTTTTCTTCCCTTCTTAGGATTTTTTCAATATAAATATGTAAGAAAATTGCAAAATGAAATACAATAGAGAGCACAAAATTTAGTATATGTATTAAATAATAAAAAATTTATATCAGAATGGAATTATAAATAGTTTATTACTTTGAATCATGCATTATAATGTGAATTCAAGTCACTTAGAGTTCTTTTGAGATCATATAACATCATAACATAAAAACCTCTTGAAAACTCCTGATATTTCATATTTCAAGTGTGGCAGCTATGATCTTGTCTGATTATAACTCTAACATCACCAGATTTTATCACTCTTATATATAGGACTTTCTTTGTAAAATGTCCAGCATAATATTTTTAGCGTTATGTGGATAGTTAATATGAGCCATTGAGAAAGGGTTTAAGATATTTTTACTTTCTGATATCATAATCATAAAAATTTAAAACAAAGGATATTCATTTATTATGGCAACTTTGCAATATGCAGCAGTTCTATTCTGTCAGTTGCTGAGATGCTGTCTTCTTCCTGTCAATCACCATTTCATGATGAAATTCAGTAAATCAAATCTTTATTAACGTTCTTAATTATTAACCCTTAATAATACAATAATTACTAATTCAGAAGTCAAACAACAAAAATCAGTGTTATATTTACAAAATTTTCGCAGGACTAGTTTCGATGGTTATACCGAACCACCATCCTTAGCTGCAAAACCGCAAATGAACAAGATAGTAAATAATGATTAGATAAGATAAGAAAGCCTGGACAAGAATAAGCAAGTGGCGCCATCTGCTGCTGAAACCAGAACTAAAACATAATTTCTTTAAAGGCCGAAGGCAAATTTGGATTGGAATTATGTTCGTTAACTAGAACAGAAAGATTTTTATGAATGTGAAATGCCTCTAAAAAATCCAGTTCTCCAATGAAAGATGTTTTTTGAATAATTTTGGCAGCAGAAAAATTGAAAATTACTTGCTTATTCTTGTCCAGGCTTTCTTATCTTATCTAATCATTATTTCCTATCTTGTTCATTTGCAGTTTTGCAGCTGAGGATAGTGGTTCAGTAAAACCATCGAAACTAGTCCTGTGAAAATTTTGTAAATATAACGCTGATTTTTGTTGTTTGACTTCTGAATTAGTATTTATTCGGCGTGTTATTCTGTCATAATACAATAATTGTTGATTTTTGTTGGTATGGTGAGTTGTTGTTTTATCTGTGTGTGTTGTTTTGTCTGCATTTTATTATTTCATCTCTTTTTGTAATCAGTGGGATGTGATTATATGTGCAGTCTGTATTTATAGGTATGCTATAAATATAACATTCAGATGAAATGAGAATTATCTGATAAAATATATTCCTTTTCATATTACCTGACCACCTTTTATTTTTTCTCCCTGTCTTTTTTAATATATATTTGATAATTTCTTGAAGAACTATTTACATTAAAATATTCTTTACAGCATTGACATTTTCTCAGAAAACAAAGCAAAATCAGTTATCATCTTTTAAAGATTGGGGTATTCTAGCTGACTGGAGCAATAATTATTTCACATGTAGTCCCAATTACATAGTTCAGCAGTTGAATGTGTTTCATGATCTACATGATAAAGTAAGTTATTTCGATTTTTAAAATCAATTTTGAGCATAAATAAGGAATGTATGACATATGTGTTAATACATGCATGATAATTAATTGTCAGTCATATAAATTTTGTAAAATATTATTCTTAACGTAGAATTAAAATTTAGGTGAAATTTCAATGAAATTCCTTCACCAGAAAATTAAAACAAAATTATGTAGCAATAATTTTAGTTATTTTTTGGGCATTTATAATTTAACTAAATTAATTTATTTGTGTCAACAAAATCTGATATTAATCTTTTATAAAAAAAGTTAGAGGCTAAGAATTGTGATTTTTCTCCCTTGTCAAATATTTCACTTGTTATTTAATTTTTAAGCATAATTGCTTAATAAAATTTTAGTGCACAATATGGCATTTCTAAAATAAACCAAGCTGCACACCTATCCAAAATTTAAAAATTAATCAGCACCCACTGTAATTATTTAGAATATCATCATGTTTCTCGTGTTTTGAAAATGTATCATTTTTCAAAGTGACAAAATTTGTTAATTGATTTCATATGTCTTTGCAGTATGTAATGCAAAAAAAGTAAATAAATAAACAATGATTTTTAGTACCATTTATTGATTTTTAGTACAAGATGGCCCACAAAAAATGTACTGTGCTTTTAGTACTGTTGGAGGAGGCTGTAGCTTTTTATTCTGTATCTGCTGTCTGACCAGCAAATTACTGTTGCCAAATAAACTAGTGTTCCATCTTTATTTTGCCTTCCTTTTTACTTCTGTGCATATATGATATCACAAAAATACTGTGTATGAAATGTTATGACTTTTGCTAAAGTTATGACTTTGCCAAAGACTTTTGCTATCTCTGGAAAATTCCTTTTTAAAAAAACAAAACTTATTATGTGCTGTTTTGAAATGACTTGAGGAGTTGAAAATCCAAAGAAGCAAAGTATGGTGAATATGGGGAAGGGAGAAACAAATCCTAACTATACTCAATAAATCTTTTGTCTAACATTCATCAAAATGTGGACCAAACATTGTTGAGATGGAAAACACCAACTCAATGATGCTGCAATTTCTGCTTTTAGAACAGCCATTTGGGAGCATAATTTTTTCTGAATTTATATGATTTTATGGCGACATTTCATAATATGCAATTCTTTTGTAATTTTATTATAAAGAAAGCTTTTTGGGGATGCAGCCCGTCTTTCGATGTTATTAAAAGAAGTGCACTTTGCTTATGCTATGACCTTTTTCTTATAATACTATTGTATAATATCCATTTCTCATATCAGTAATGAACTATTTAATAAAAGGTGTTTATTTCATTTCAACAAAGAATTGCGTGCCAAAATTTGAAGAAGCGTATTCTGCTCTGTGAAAGTATGGAATACATCGTAGTCGCTGATATGTCCAGTTTTCTTAAAATGATCATGTATTATACTGTTCAGAATATTTAATCTGTCTGAGAAATCTTGAACTGCATAATGAAGCTTTTCAGAAAGAGACCTTTTTTTAGTAGGTTTTTGTGTATGGGAAATAGTCATCCTGAGAGAGTATCATCTTTGAGGTTGAAATTTCCACACTTTAACCTCTCAAATCAGCTTCAAACTGAGTTTTCAGAAACAGAATTTTGTCAAGATACAGGACAAATTTTACAAGCAGTCTGGCCAGCATTTTTTCTTTTTTAAAATAAAGAGCATAATATATATAATGAACATGAACTTTTGGGTTCTCCATTCTTAGCACTACACTGAGCAAAAAAAAAAAAAAAAAAAAAAAAAAAAAGCAACTATAAGCATCTACTGTTATACAATATGAGCAAAAAGAGTATATTTAAGCTTCCACTCTGATCAAGGTTACTTCTTATGAACAGTAGCAAAATAAGTAGAAAAAAAGCATATTTCAATTTGAAAGAATACAGAACTTTCACTGTGACTCATTATATATAATTCAATCTCTCATAATTGGCAGTAATCAAAATAATGGCATTTTTTAAAATTTTAATTTGAAATTTAGGCCTATGAGGTAAAAAAATATTAACAATTGAATGATTTTGAATGCAAAAAACATTTATATTATATTTCTGCTGCCTAGCATAACAAAATACAGCCAATGGACCAGAAACAACCAATAGACATGAGCATTGAATCAACATCCAACCACTGGACCAAGGAATTATCTAGAATGTATAGATAGATACATTATTGTTCACTTTTATGTAATGTATGAACTTTGGAAGTAGTGTCCATGACTCTCAGGAACAATTCACATTGAAATATGTCAAATTTATTTTGTGTCTTGCTTAATGCAGAGTATGTTGTTGTATGTTGTTGGTGGCATAAAATGTAGATTATGATCATGTTCATATTTGACTATTCGAGTGATAAAGATTCTCTTGATTTTAAAACACATTAGGTGCTTGTGGCGAGCATCTTGGATTCGTGGTTACTTGCTCAGGGAAAGTTAGTGCCGATGAGGTGCGGGTTTGAGTGGGTGTAGATAATTCTATTTCCATCACATTTCCCCACGATGATGACAAAATAAATGCCATGTATTGGGAAAAGAGAAAAATGATAAGGAGGAGGCAGAGGATGAAGATGACATGCAGAGCAAGAGTGTTACCTGGAGAAGATGCTGGTGCAGGATTGCTGATTTTCATAAGATTTACTAAGAAATATTCATTTATGTCAGTGTGTGATCTTATGAAGCTTCATTGTATACATAGCGAATTTTTAAAACTTATGGTGACAATCTTGTAAACAGGCCAAATTCAAAATTATATGGCATTACACTAAGAAGAAATTCATATCTTTCATGTAATAATAAATGCAGTAATTTTAAAATGTTTAATTTTTTCCTTTGAAATATTAAATTATTTGCATGTTTTTTAATTTTAAATAATCTTTATGATTTTTACTATTATTTGTTTAATTGTGAGCAACTGATAAAAAAATACCAGCAGACTTCGCATGCTGCAATTTCTAAAGATGGCATCTTAAAACATGAAAAAGTAAGATATACTAATATATATTCAATTATCCAAAAGAACCTCTTATCCAGAACTGCTGAGGTCTGTTTGATGCTGTTTAAAAGGAATTCTTCAGCATATGGAAGGGAAGAGATTAAAATTCCAAGTAAAAACTTTTAAATACTTTGGGAAAATCTTTATTAGAATTTAAAAAAAACTATTAATTAAATTGTTAGGTTTTCATAAATGTGAAGGCTTGAATTAATTTTTACTTCAGCAAACCAATATAATATTAAAATTTCATTATTGGAGAATATAAATATCTTGTCAAATTAGAAAAATATTCCATCACTAGTCATTGCTGTTCACTTATTTCTTTTAACTTGAAAGATTGCTTGGGAAAATGACATTAGTATTTGTGTGTTTAAAACTTCTTTCTTTGTTCCTATTTTTATTTCAATGCACCTTTAGAACTTAATAACTAATTTATAATTAAGTTCTTTGAAACTTAAAAAAATATCTCTTGTTTTACATTTTGTGTCATGTTTATTTCCAAAATATGCATAGATATATTTAAATAAATTATGTAACTCAGGCTTTTTCAAAATTTCACATTGTACTTAAAGTAAAATTATAGTAAAAAAAAATAGTGTTATTAAAAAGATTCAGCTCTGTGTTCAAAATGTTCATGTGAAAATGTTGGGTTACATGTATTAAAATTAGAATATATCAGGGACTATCAGGGACACTGCCATACATTCTATAAGAGAAATAAAGTGATATCATCTAAAATAGATTGGTTTGTGTTGCAGTACAGAAAAAAATCTACTGCTCAGTGCAGCTTCCAGTTTTGAGCAAAAAAGTCTGGGGTTTTACAGACAGTCTGGAAATAAAATCAGAATGATGCACTTTAACTTCTTAAAACCCAAATGAACCTGACTCAGAAAATTTATAGTTATACTGATTGTTCTCCCTTCAGTATTAATAAATTTATATGAACAGGATCGAGAAAAGTGGGCTACAGGTTTAATTCTGCATACAACAATGTCATAGTCATCTGGTAATGTCAGTTAAAGAGTTCTTAATTAAGGCATTCAGAAACAAATCCCTCAACCAAGATGTACCTTGTTTGCTAGATTTTTCATTGAATTCTGGCTGTCCTGTCAAGATGGGTCTATGGAGACAACGTGTTCAGGCAATTTGTGCTATTCAGAATAACATAATAATGGCCAGTCTTTGACAGAAAAGAAACATTCAGTATTTCCAGAAATGGCAGAAGTGCTAATTGTCTTATTCCATTGGATGTTATTTCAAAGGTCACTTGGTATAATTTTTTTCATATTTCAAATAAAATGCTCTTTGTGCATTTTCTGTGAGCTTTTTGAACATAAGTGTAATTTACTGATATTTTGACATAAATTTATTAATTACAATATAAATATTAGTTATTCTCTAGATAATTTTATTTCAAATAAGATTTTGCAGTTTTTGATGCTGTTAAGTTTATATATTCATTTAAATTTTGTATATAATTAATTCTGGTGGGTAATAGTTTGCGTTTTTTTTAAGGGAATCATCTTTCAAGATTATAAACCTGTATATTGGTCACCTTACAATAGGTTAGATTTTATTTTTTGCTTTGATTTCCATTTCTTTTTCTTTCATTCTGCATAAATGCATATCCAATGTGTATATGTGCCATGTGTGTATAAAATTATCCATTTACATATCAGATTGTTAACATTGATATATAGCAGGAATTTATAAATTAACCTTTTTAAAATTAATTTTCATTTGTCATTTTTTATTAACAAATTAAAATTTTTTACTCATTATATTTATTTTTAATTGCTTTGCTTATCTTTTTAATGGCTGTTTTAATCTAGAAACAGTAGTTGAATTATGATGTAATAATCATGTAAATGTATTGTAAATATTCATATCTGGTTTTAGGTTTCAGAGGGAAATGTTTATGCTGACAGTATGCATTGTGAAACCTTGTTCAGTTTAAAATAGGGTTGAATATTGTATCTAAAGTTGCAATGCTCACCTTTTGCACATGATAAGAGTACTTTAAAATGTGTGCTGGTACTGTTATGTAGGTTACACATTATGTTTTGTTTGACCAATATTTAGAAATACTTTCTGAAAAAATATTTATTGGGTTCATATTAATTATGTTCATTTATATCTATTCTTTCTATATAAGAAACAAAAGTTAAATAACGTTCTGAAGTTAAGTAAAATTTTACAATAATTTTTCCATAGTAGTTAAAAAAAAGTGATTTATAAATTTTTTATGAATGGTCTACTGGCTCTGAATGAGAAAAATTCATGTGCTGAATGTAAATTTTATGTATTCATAAGCAAGCGTGAATATATATCAATTACTTTATCTACTTCAGCTATAGGGGGTTAAAAGTCACTTATGCTTTAAATTTGTTTTTTCTTTATAATTTTTCACTAGAATCATCTCTCTGTCCATTTAATTTTTGGCCAATTTTAGAAGATTAGACTTTAAATCTCCTAAAAAGTATCATAAATAGGCATTATTTATGTGGTGAACTGAAAGAAACTTTAAATGAAACAAGCCATGAAAAACATTTTATTTGGCATCTACAAATGTTACCATTAAATTAATTATTTTGCTTGGTGAATCACTCCCTGCATCCTTTCAAGTGTTTATACAAACATTTTGATGTCAGTTACAGATACCGTGTGCTTTGAGCAGACCAATTTTAATTATAGTCCTGCATTTCATTATTTCTAAAGTTCTAGTTATCATGTTTCTCTTGATGACCAGACAAAAGCCCACAAAAAAGACCCCACTGGGATAATTGTCCACACGACTAATACCCACACCGATGAAAGCACACATTGATAAAAGCCCACATAGATATAAGCACAGGCTGATAAAAGCCCATACTGACAAAAACCCACACCGATATATATGCTACGTTAAAATGAATATTTTTTCCCCTTTTTTCTTCAGCTTTACAAAGCAGATTTATGAATAAAGATAAAATAAAAATAATTTAAATTAATAACAAATAATCGAACAATACATTTAAGAAGCGGAACACATTTCATTTTGAACTCCGGCTGAATTAAAATCCTACATGTATATAGAACAGAGAGTCAATCAAAATAATGTGATTAAAAACATATACATGTATGTGTAACTTTGTTTTTATATTTACGTGACAAATCGAAGTGCCCTCGTATAAGTCCGACAAAGGGAGGTGAAAGGGAATACTGGCCACACTGCTTCTTTTAATTCTACAAAATTATAAGGAGTATAAAATGTATGTAAATTTTCATCATATACAGAGACTAATTTTATGAATAATTTTAACACTGCAGAAAATTTTGCATATAATGAATTTAATATGGAGAACTAAAGCCAAACTTTCATTTCAACGAAAAAAATAAAAGTACCATATTCTATTATGATTAAGAAAATGCGTGCGCCATCAGAAACACTCTTTTAATGGTGAGTTAAAAGCGTGGTTTCAAATAATCTAGTTAAATTTTGGCAACTTGGATTTTACATAAATTAATTTCCTTCCCACATGAAAATTTCATTTTTAATCATAATAATTATTACTCGTAAAATTTTTCAGTCATAGCTATTTTGGATTTCCTGAAAATGTGTGCTGTTTTTAAGTGGGCATTCGTCTTGTGGGCTTTTGTCATGCAGTTTTCTAACTGGCCTCTGGCTATTCAGGTGGGAAACCATTGCGTTCGTTTTCTTTTGCTCCCAGCTGTGTGAAAAAGCAGTTAAAGAGAGGAGAGCTTTGCTTAATTGCTTTATCCCTTTATCCCCTATCGAACCTGGGGTGCCAGAGAACGTCCTTAGAAGGGAGGGGATGGCAGGAGAGCAATTGAAGGTTGGTCAGGAATAAATTAAAGAGGATTTTAAATGTTTTTTGTTACTAGAAAATAAGAATATCTGAAATTATGCTTGTAACTGAAATCAACCCCTTTCTTACATTTTTTTTTAGTCTAGTTCTTGAATAACTTTTTATCTAAGTATTTAGTTAGAATTTCAATTATTTTAGAAATTTCAATAACTGGAAATGAAAGGAATTAAATATTTCTTAACCATATTTAAAGGCATAATTCACTGTTTTTGCAGTAAAACTGCAGAGTGGAAAAATATGCTAGTTCCTGATTCAGTAGTGTCTCTAACAACTTTTTGATGAACTAATTAAACATGTCTGTTATATCGAAGCAAAGCCATTGTTTAAAAGTAAAACTACTGAACTATTACTAAAAAATTAAATTATTACATATATTAAAATTTACGTAAAAGTAATATTTTTCATTTTAACTTTCATATGGTTGAAAACTCAACCATATGAAAGTTAAAATGAAAAATATGAAATCATATAAAAGTTAAACTATTTGAATAATTTTAATAACGAAGTTTTCTGAACTCAAGAACAAGAGGATTTAAGAACCATGAGCCCAGCGTTGTAAGAAAAGTAATCTTGCACATTAAAAATAATTTTTATTTCAATAAAAAATATTGTTACTCGATCAACTGTAAACGCTTAAAAAACAGCTCATTTTAATTTACCGTAATTATTTATATACAAAAACTTTCAATGAAGCAAATTTAAACAGCATTTAGAAATTGAATTTCACTAGAACACTTCTTTTGCGGGTTTTATGCCGTTATTACATGTTGAATATTATTTCGCCTAGATTTAAAAAAAGAAACACATAACATGTAAAAATTTATTTTTTAGAAAAACCTCATTTTTTTCACCTCGAAATGCATTGTTTTCCCTATACGAATTTCATATTCTGACAGCTCAGAAGTAGTGGCCACATAACTTGTAGGAGATATTTCTTATTAACCTCGTGTGTTGACGATCAATTGGAGCTACATTTTGAATATGTTTTCCCTTATTGAATGAGTTCAAAATTTTCTAATATCTCGTTTTCTAGCATGAAATTTGATCTCTTAGGTTTATGGCTACCAAATAAACGTTTTTGAAATCAACATCAAATTTTAAACATAATTTTCCTTTAATTTGTGTCTTAACTTTTATTTTCAAAAAACATGCACGTAATCCGAAGTTTTATATAAGAAAAGTTAGTATAAGAGAAGTGTCACATTAAATTATCTGTACATTCAGTCACTATTAAAAACTACTTCTGTCTAGACTATTGGTCATCAATCAGGAGGAATAGCCCTAAGGGGAATTTCACAGTTTCAGAGAGTAATTTAGTCAACCTTTTCTTTATGTATTAAGTATTTAGATTTAGTTTATTAATATAAAAAAGCACTTTTATTCAAAATTTTGGTATTTACCAACATGTTTTATACTTGTTTAATTTACATTAAAAATAATCCATATCTAAACAAATGCATATGTACTTTTCAAGTTTTGGGAAGGAAAGGTTGAATGATCGTTTAGCAATGGTGAAAAAGGCACATGAGGAGAAAACTGTTGAGAATCACTGGTCTAGACTAAGCCAACTTGAATTAAATATAGAATTTTATACTTTACGGATCTTTAGTTGTTACTGTAGAGTCATTAGGTTTTTTTTTTTTTTTTTTTTTTTTTTTTTTTTTTTTTTTTATGCGGGAGGCATGAAAAATAAGTAATGTTTTCTTCGAGACTCGAGCCTGGATCTCTTGAATACGAGCTGATTGTACTAAACGTTACACAACGAAGGCATTCTGGAAGGAGATAGAAAATACCTTATATACTCCCCCTTTTAAAGATGACTGGGTATTACAGACCCAGTTGTCAAATCTTGGTTGAGAAGAATCATCATCCACCACCTTTTTTTTTAGTTCAGGCGTCATGTTGGAGACATGAAAAATGAGCAATGTGCTCGCCAGGACTCTAACTTGAACCTCTCGAATACGCGCCGAGTGTGCTAACCGTTACACCACAAAGGCATGCTGGAAGGAGGGAGAAAATACTATCCTGTTATGTATTATTTCAGCCTGTACTGTGAATTCTACTTTCCACTTTCTCACCCAAATGCAAATAAGTTAGTAAGTAAACATGTTTAGGATGCAAATGAGTTAAGAATATTTAAGACGAAGCTTTTGCGATTGAAAGGGAATGCAAGAATTTGCTACGTCGACTTCTGCTGTCAGGGTTTAGCCATTTGCGGCCGTTGCATTAAGTGCACCAGTAAGTTAATTGTCTGAGAAAGCCGGTTAGGCTAATCTTGAATTCCTCTATTTATTTTATTACCTTGAAATGCTAAGTTTATTAGTTGTGCTGATACTTTAGCAACTCAATATTTTGTCGATTGAGTTACAACACAACAATTGGAGCCATTTTGTCCATAATCACAACATGTAAAAGTTCACTAAGTTTAAGCAGTATGTGGACTTACACTTGACAGAGATCTAGGTCATAGGAAGAGAGTCGTTGCATAATTTTCTAAAACTTTGGATACTGATATTTATCTTTAATTAAAAACCTTTGGAATGCCAGGAGGTCAGTTCTTGGGGGTTTTATGTGAATATCCTCAGTTAAGGGGCATGAGAAAGTGTAATGATCAGGAGTTTCCCTGTTCCCCACATATACAGATATCATCAGAATTTGCCAAATTTCTTGCGTAGAAATATGTAGGGAAGGGTCCATGTCATGTTATAAAGTAATTTAGAGAAGGATTCGAGTACAGAGACGCGAAGCTTACATTGGGGATCAAGTTATATGTGCGTCATTAGTTAGATAAATAAAAATTATTAAAAAATAAAATAAATGCTGTACCTTAAGAAAGCATCAGTTATCCAGTTCGTAAGCTTTTCATGTAGGCACAAGGCTCACCAGCGGCCAAGCAGTAAAAACGCTGAACACTGGTAGCTCGGTCCGGATTTCAAATCCCGATGAAAAGGCAGACTGCATGGGCACTTTCGTGGTTTTCCCCTTATGTAACATTTATACGAGCGAGTTTGGTTTAAAAGTCCTCCACGAAGGCATGCCTTCCCTTGGCTTAGTGCCATTTTGTTCATCCTCTTTTCATGCCGAGTTCGAAATAGTGTCGTTTGTCCGCTGCTGTTCGCACTTATTCTGTTTTTCCCATTTCATAAGCTGTTCAAAAAGTCACTATATGATTAAGAAAAGATATATTCAGATGAAATGACCCTTACTACTTTGACCTGACTCAGCCTTTGAGTTCTTATATTTATTAAACGTTTTCTTTAGATAAATTTATTCTGAGCACAATAATGAATTTCAGACATGTTCAAGAGGTGTGTTTTTGAATCTAATTCTATTTATGTCATATAGTGTCCATTTTTTTTTAATTTCACATACTTCTAAAGAAATAGAACCACTGTTCCTTTGCTTTGACAGAAAATCAAAATGTAGCAAGTATATAATGAACCTGTACATGTTTTATTAAAAAATATAGTGAACCCTCTATAAACGCAACCGTTCACGGTTTTAAAGGATTTTGGTTGTAGATATGGTGGTCTTAGAAATGTGATATTCACTGGCAATGTTTGTTTATGTTCACAAAAAATACAGGTCTCTTTAAAAGGCGACCTCTTAGAAATGTCGTCAATAGATATAATTCACTAAAATTATTTTCTAATGGATAGTGGAATTAACCCTTTGCGGCACAGTGTGTCCGGTCTGGACACACCTAAAAATTTTCTTCTGTACGCACAGAAAAATTGAATGAAAAATAATTTATAGGTTACTTTCAACCTTCTTTATTTATAGTAGATGGCAGCTCAACACAAACCAGTCCATATATTTTAGCCATGTTCAGTTTTTTAAGACCCTCATTTTTCAAAGAAATCTTCCAGATTTTTTTAGGGTATAAAAGGAATTGTTTGAAAAGAAATTTCTATGCTTTTTTTTTTTTTTTTTGGCTGTAAGCTAAGCTCCTTATTCTATATTAGTTTTAAATTTTTACCTTGAAATCTATTGGAATCTATTGTTGAATGGAGCTATTTTTAGGAAAGACTATTTTTAGATGGCTTGGTGTGCAAATGATCTTTTTTTATTATTATTTTAGGACATAGGAAATTTGTATTGATCTTTTACAAAAAATTCAATTTAAATTTGATGCATGATTTCGAATCAATACATAATATTCGTTAATATGTATCTTATTATTTTAGGACATCATTAGCTGAAGCAGAATTAGAATATAATCCAAATCATGTTAGGTAATTAAATTTCTTCATTTGACTTCTTACAAATAAAATTATAATAAGCAATTTTATATTTGTGATTTAAATACTTACTGTGAGAATGATTTAAAGTGTTTGTATTTATTTGAAGAGTATGTTGACATCTTCTGATATAAAGCAATCTGTGACATAATGCAAGGTATAAATAAATAAATATCTGGATTTCTCTAAGTGTTTTACAATCAACAAAAAAGTTGTAAATATGGTGTCTTTATGAGAAAGTATGACTTAATCGTAGGCGTTTTGTTGAAGGAAACAGAAATTTATCATTCTGCTTTTGAAGTGTTATCATAACACTTCAAAAGTTTTAGACTTCAAAAGTCTAAAACTTCAAAAGTGTAAACTTAAAAGTCTTCAAAAGTTAGGTCTGTTATTCTCAACAGCAGTCATGTCAAGAATCTCTCTCAGGTATACTACTGAAAAGTTCTGCTGATGTAGAGTGAGCAAACATCCACAGTTAGTGACCAATGTCAGGAGCAATTTCAGGGTTCTTCTGACTGTTACTGAATCACACATAGATTCAGAGCTGAAATCACAAGGAAAGTCTGCAAGCAGACCATGCTGTCTTACAGGCTTTTAGTTACAAAAACTAGTGTCCTATTCATATGTTATTCCTGACTGTGCACCTGTATACTATTAGATATCGCATTTTGCTTAACGCTGGATTTGGTTTGTTAATTTGATTATTACAAAGTCGGCTAAGGCTATCTACCTAAGAAGAGGGATAACTTTGGGGAGGACTTTCAGGAAGAAACTAGCTCATATCCACATTGCACATAGGAAAACTATGAAAACACCCATGCAGCCAACCTGTTAACCTGGAATCAAAGCCAAGTCGAACTACTGAACAGTGTTCAACAACTTTACCTCTAGACCACTGATGGGTGTTTTGTACTTGGTAAAACTGGGAATTCTGCAGATTTATGCTGATATGAATTCTCTTTCCACACTGCACTGAGTTGATGAAGGATACATATATGACATAAGTATCATGAGCAGGCCCGTGTCATCAATAGTTGCACGACGGCGCTGAGTCAAAAAGGCGCAGGGCAGCCTTAAAAACAAACAATCCGTTTCGCTGCCTGTCTGAATAGAAAATTCTTGTCTTGTTCGAACATAAAAATGTGTGATGACGATGCATATATAAGAGTAGACGGCAGCGCTCTAGATGCGTTCGACATATTACTTAATTCTTATTTCATATCTAATGTTGCAATCATAGTAATTTGTGCAGCATTTATCTTTTCTTGTGTTTTTTTTTAATAATTGCTTGTTGCAATTGTTATTCTCCATAAAAAAAAGGTGCATGCAATTATATCCTATGTTAAACTTAGGTTAGCTTTTTAATTCAGAAAAGCAACAATTTTAGGCTAATTATTTGAAAATTGTTTTTCTACGGGAAGCATTTGTTTATTAAATTGAAAATTATTAGCTTTCGAGAAGAAAAGATTGGCATATTATGGAATACTACTGAATTTAAAATATACCTGTGTGAAATTTAAAGTGGAATAAAAATATACAAGGTGTTCTGAAATTAAAAAATGATCATTTTCTCATTTTTAGCTATATGGAAAACCGAAGAAAATTGTTTCGTTATTTCATTACATCTTAAATATACATACTTTAAATTTGATTTATTTCTTTTAATAAACAAAAGAGTACCACGAGCTCCTTCATTTATTTGGTATTGATCTAATAGTTCATAATTTTATCAGCAGTGGTTTGAGATATACTCAGTTTTTCAGAAGTAAGGTAAAATATTTCAAACAATGACTTTCCAAGTGTTTTTAAGAAGTGTTTTACGCAATATTTCTTATAACAGTTACTTTCTTTTATTTTACTTACACTTTTTCCCAGATGTTGGGAAAAAAAAAAAAAAAAAAAAAAAAAAACAGAGAAAAACTGTCTGGGTACCAGAATTTACTGAAGAAAAGAAAGCGAGAGGAAGACGTAGTAAAGCAGAATTTTAAAAGTACTCACTTTTTCCAAATCCCAGAGAATACCCAAGCTGATGCTACCTTCACTAGTTGTCCATCAGCATCTCAGTTACCTCTGAAATTAACAAAATTTTCCTAAAAGGAACCTAATAATCAGAAGGTGTTTTTATCCTGGAATTACCTTCAACTTCAATGCAGCCAGTCGAAACATCAGAAGAAATAATAGAAAAATCTTCTGTTTTATTTATCAAATGCCTGTCATTTGGTCTCTAGGCTATTAGACAATAGGCTCTCCATCTCGCCAAATGATTAGAAAGAGCAGATAGTGCAGGGTACTCGTCCAAGCAGTCATATCTTTTTCAGTCATACAAAGAGAACATGTAGGAGAGTCCACAATGTTAAAATGAAAATGATGAGCACGGAGGCAATCATGCTCAGTCAACATTTTAAAAGCTGCAACTGGAGCTGCATGAGGTAAGTCAGGAACAACTTGTGGTCTAGAAAAGAGTGCATTCTGAGGTCTGCCATTCGAAAGATGCAAAGCTGTATCATGAAGAAAGCACCTAGAAATCCTAGCTATTTCCAATTTAGCTGAATGGAATCGCAAATAAGTAAATAGTATCGCAAATAATAGTAAAAAGTACAATTTCTGCAGTAGATACACATTTGTCTGTGCCTGATGATCCTGGATTATGGCCAAGTTCATTATTGCCATCCCAAATGCAAACCTTAGAAAATGAGTCTAGATATTATCAAAACTTGGCTTCTAGTTTTAGTTTCCCAAAAGACAAAAATGGACATACATTTTCTGAGATGTACTTTTGTCGAATCTTGCCAAATGACAAAAGAGTTAAAAGGGATTAGTTGCTGTTGAAAAGAATTCTCTTTATTGTTTTTGTTGTAAAATGTTTAACAATTTTAGGAGCGTAAAATTGAGTAGTTCTGGATTTAATGGCTGGAAACACTTCAGTGAGCACTTAAAACTTCACGTAAAATGTAAATGCATTTCCAGAACCTACGTCTTTGGTCCGATTTTTTTAGATTAATTACAAAAGGATAAAACTGTTGATTCGGAATTTCAAAATTTATTAAAGAAAAAAACTAAGCATTGGTGTGATGTTTTTGAAAGTGTTATCCATGTAATTCAGTTTTTAGCTGAACAAAACTTAGCCTTTCGTGGTTCCAATAACAAATTATTCAAGAGAAATAATGGTAATTTTTTAATGTATATAGAAATTATCACAAAATTTTACCCTATCATGTCTATACATATTAAAAAAAATATGCCTCATTACCTCTGGGATAAAATTAAAAATGAAACAATTAGCTTATTAGGGACCAAGGCGGAGGCTTCTGGAGTACCTTTGCTGAAAACAGCAATTACCTCCACAACTTCATTAAGAAATACTGAATAATTAAGAGATGAGCATGTCTAAAGTAAAAGAAACGAGAATCGTTAAGGGTTTAAAGAGATGGGAGAACGATAAGGAGTCTACACAAAGGGACGAAAGAATTCTTTCAACTCCTAACTTCACCTAGGTGGTGGTCAAAAACCTCCCGCCACAGCAATTGAGGAGAGGAAGAGGTGATAGTTGAGACGATTTCCTGCACGCATTGCGTGAATGGAATCAAAAACAGGTTGAAAGAGTAGGGAAAAGGAGGCGAATTCCTCCAAGTCCCGGGAAACGTAGCTTATTAGGGGGTAATATAAACAAATTACTTTAAATAAGACCAAACAGACAAAGTATTTTTCTAGAGTAGTTGATTGTACCCCTGATGCCAGCCATTAAGAGCAGATATCAGTTCATATGAGGTATCTTAATTTAGAAAATACAGAGTTAGAGAATCAACCTAGAGCATTTTTTGTGTCCTGTTGTAAACAGTTTGAACCTTGTTGAATGACGCTGCGAACAACAATGTATTCAGTGTAAAATGTTTTGAATTGTTGAAGAGCTTTACAATTTTTTTCGGCTTCAACGAATCTCTCGTCTGTTTTAAAAAGGCATGTTTAAAATTTAACGCGGAAACCTTTGTCAGATACGAGGTGGTTAATCCGTATAGATTTAAAATTTTGATTAAGAGAGGCTTTTGATGCCCTCTATGAAACAACCAAAAAAAATTTTTGTAAACACTACAAAAAATCAGGCCACATTTTTAGGGGGAAAATTCAAAAATTTAATTTTATGTGTATGGTAGTTTTATCGTATAAAATACTCAGCAAAGTTAATGTTGCTAGCAATGTTCTCCAAACAAAAAATTTTAATATTTCTCAGACTTCTGAAAGTTTAAATAAATTAAATTTGATTCTAACACTGATGCCAGCCATCAAGAGCAGATATCATTTTATATGAGGTTCAAAAAGGCTCAGATCTATAATCAAGTTTATAGATATATTAAAGGCTTCAATGATATAGTCACAGAAAGTAAAGAACTGGCATCTTCTTCAGATGTTGATACAAATTTTAAAAGCCAAGAAACATTAAGACTCCCAAAAATTAAAAAAAAAAAAAAAAAACATTATTTTACAAAGGCCAAAACCAGCCTATGCAAAACGAAGTAAACTTTATAGTAAATTTTCAGGGGGGGGGGATTTTAGATGTTGCAATATCATCTTTAAGTGAAAAGTTTGATCTCTTTTCTTCAAATTCAGAAGTTTTTAAATTTTTGTGTAATATTTCTGATTTTACTAAATACGTTGAACAAGATCAGCTCAATTTATGTCAAAAACTGCAAAAAGCATTAATTGATAAAAATCAAAGCAATTTAAATATTGTAGATCTTTTGCATGAACCGCAGTTTTTGCAAACTTTTGGAGAAAATCTAGCATCATCAGCTGAACCTCTAAGCTACATAGTTGTCAACAATTTAACTCACTCCTTTTCTTATATTTATATTACTTTACATATTTTATTAACAATTTCAGTCTCAGTAACTACAGCAGAGGTATCATTTTCAAAATTGAAAGTAATTAAAAATTACCTGAGATCTACCATGGATCAAGAAAGATTGACAAATTCTGCAATTATTTCCATTGAAAGTGATATTTTATAAAAATTAGATATAGATTTACTTATAAATCAATTTGCGAAAAACAAAGCCCGAAAATTTCAATTTCTGTAATTTTACTCATTCTAAATATTGAAACTATTTTGTTTCAGTTCATTTGTTTATTATATGTGTGTTAGTGTTATATGTTTTGCTAACATATGATCGAACACAATTTATGTGAAAATGGATTTAAGGATTTATGCCACTTGAGATGCTTTAAAGGTAGATTCAGCTCTCGAGCTTTCTGGAGGGTTGCTTTCAAAACAAACGCAAATCGATTTTATTGAACTTGTTAAAAACAATATTTTTCATTTTGAAAATCAAAAAAAAAAAAAATATTTAAAAAATGGCATCCTTGAAGTGGGAACCTCATTTTCTGCAGAACTAATTGATGTACATCTTTGTGGTCCTAATTTTTATCTTGAGACATTAAAAAAAAAAAAAAAAAAAAAGTCTTAAGATACATTTTATAAACTTTGGGAGTACTGAAAGATTTAAATACATCATTGTTGTTGATCAAGTAGTCAATATTTAAAAAACAAAAAATGTTTACTGTAAAAATTCCATTTTTTAAACATGAATTGCTGAGAAAATAAAGAGTTATTTAAAAAATTGTGGGCACTTACTGCTTCCAAAGATAATGTGTCTGAGAATACGCATACAAAGTTTGACGCAAAAGAGATCAAAATTAAATGATGTACAATGTATGTCTACATGAGAAACACTGTTTCCAAAAAAAAAAAAAAAAAAAAGTTTTAAGATTCTTAAGACTTTAAATCTAAGATGCATTACAAAAACCTTACCTTTTGCCATTTTTCACCCAATTTCTGTGTCATACAGTTGCCCCTTCCATTTAGTATTTTTATTAGCTTTGTGGAATTTTTAACCCTTAATGTGTTAATAAATTAATGTTAATAAATAATTAAAACTAAATATTATTTATTGGTCTACTCTTCTACATATCTTTCTTTAGCTTTATATTTCCCAATATTTAACTGTAATTAAATATGTATATTAATTTTTTTTTTAATTTTAAGATAATAAATAGTGTTAAGCAGTATATTTGATATTCAATGCTTTAAGCATTTAATTTAGCTTCGCTTGCAATGTTATTTTTTATAATATAAATATATAATTCTTCAATAAATATGTCTGAGAGTGGGTTTTAACAAAACACAAAATGTTTGCTCATTTAGAAAAATTGAAAGATAAAAAGTAATTTTTTTGTTTTTTCATATTATTATGTTAATAATACTTCAATTTTAAGTGTTGACCATAAATAATTTCTCTCTAATATTATCATCACTGCATAAAGGCGCTCACTATACATTTGCACGACGATGCCGATTAGGCTTGGCGTGGGCCTGATCATGAGTTATCAATTCATACTGCCTAAGTAATTTAATTTGAAGCAATGTTGGCTTTGTGATGGTGGTGGTATAGGGGCATATTAGGATCTTTTAGTATATTTCTAGAAATCATAAAATTCCTCATGAATACTCTGCTACCAGCATGAGTTGTCTAATCACCTATACTTTTACGTAGCCGGAAGGGGTTGTTTGTTTCAGTGTATCATATCACTTTCAAGCACAAGTTTGAAAATCACTCATGATCTCCAAACCAGCATAACCTTCCTGGATTGAAATTATTTTAAATATGTTTAGGATTTTATTCAACAAATCATATAATCTATGAATTAAGACCAACATCTAGGATGGTGTTGAAAGTAAAATTGCAGTATCTTGTGTTTTCCTGGCAGTCCTTCAGCATCAAGTGCACGTATGATTTGTACTGGAGGAAGAATGGCAGGTTATTAAAGAGGTATTCCTAATATATTGCTCATTGTAATTGATTGTAATATGCTATTAAGACACTCCATATTCTCCCAATGCTAGTTACTGTAATATTCTGATAATACACAAGCTGTTGTTTATTAAAATATTCATTTTTTTCCCTCTCTTTCTGATTTTAGTCCATCTGTTTACATGAAATTTTCAGTCACCAAATGTCCTGATGTTTTAAAACAAAAATTAGGTATTCATCTTTATTTTTGCATTTTTTTAGTTATATATTTTAGTGATATCAATTTTTAAATCTTAAAATGTGTTTAAGTGATCCAATTTAATTACTTTCTGTATGCTTTCAATTTTATGTTATAAATTACATCTTGAACTGTGTATTAAAAGAAACAGTTTGCTTTACTTTTATAATGGCATGCTAAATGTTGTTGAGGTATTCTTGTATACTCTATTTGTAAGTGCCTAATCTGCAGTGTACTAACCACTCCACGTTGAAAATTTCAAAAGTCATAAAGGATTTTACTTAAATTTTTCCCAGTTTATTCAAATTTTATTTCATAAAAGATATATTTTTGTAATTGATTTAGGCTACTTTCTTGAAATAGCGCTGTATAATATTATACTGTATGGTTAAAAAAATAAAAAATAAAAAAAAAAAAGAAGAAGAAGAAGAAGAATCTTAACAAATTCTTCCTTTTTAAATTAAAACAATAAAACTGTCATTTTGGTAGCAGGAAATTAATCAGTGAGACCCAGAATCAAACATCTATATCAAAATTTTGTGTAAGAGAGCAAGAAGATGAATTTTTCAGTGCCTTAGGATGTAAGTGTAGTTTTCCTTTTTAAACTCAGATGAACTTAACTACCAACAGTGCCATTTTAAGATCCTTCCTTTTTAATGAATCATTTTTCTTCTTAATTTGTAGATAAATTTTGTTTTTGTTTAAAATGAAGAAGACTTTCTTGTTATATTATTTTCTTTGGAATACATTTTGCATAAAATAAATTCCATTATAAAATAAATTCCATTAATTTTATACTTTTTCCCCACTTAAACAGCGGAAAAGAAGTAATATGTATCTCTTACTGAAAAAAAAAAAAAAAAAGGTATATTTTATCACAATTAGCAGTTTCAAATATTTAAATTGATGTTCCATAGATGGAAATAGATGGTTCCATAGTTAGGAATATTCATGTTGAAAATTAACTTTTGCAGTCCTATGTCCAATATGATTGAACAACAGTTGTATTCTAGTATATTCAGTATCCTAGTCTACCTGAAAAATTAGTATTACTTTTTATTGAATCTTGGATGCATATAAATGATAAATTTACCAATGATTTTTTTTTTTGTTTTTAATGAGGTAAATCATGGCAGTTCCTTTAGGAAATACCACTCTAGGGAAACTTTAAAGTGTGATATTTATAATATAATTTTAATTATAAAAACACTATGAATAAAAGTTTGTATTATAATTTCTCACTCATATTCTCATTTCATTTGGTATCTGCTATTGTGCGTTGTGAAAACTAGACTCCAAATGCTAATAATGCTGTCATTTAACCTGTGCATACTTACCCTCCCCCCCAAAAAAGAAAGAGTTTATTAAATAAAAAACTCAAAACTTCTCATAAATAAACCTAAGTTTCTAATCTGCAAAACTCATTTAAGTTAGTAAAATTGCAAAAACTCATTTGGAATATATTGCAAAATTTTTTAAACATCTTTTTTTTTATTCAACTCTGTAAAAAATATCCTTCCATTTTTTTAATGTTTACCCATTTTCAGGGAATTCTTGCACACTGCAAATTTTAATTGGCATAATCCATCAATGAGTGTAAATATAGTGAATTCTTTTTAGTGACCACTTCCCTAAGACAACCATTTGTGAAAATGATCAGTATTTATAAAAAAAATGCAAATGAGCATTAGTATTGAGCATCATCTCTCTAAGATGATAGCCTTCACAGAAGACAAAAATTATGAATGGCCATCTTAGAGAGCATTCACTGTGCTTGAAACTCATCTCTTGGTCATGATATTGTTTCTAAGCAAAGTGTATAGACCATTATTGCTGTGTGTTATAAATAAATATAATTTCCTTAAGTATTTCCTTAAGTTCTTTAAGTATGACTTTTATTTTAAAGAATAAAACTAATACAGTTGTAAGCCAATTCCTCTTAGAAAATCTTTTGTAAAAGCATACCTTCCTTAATGCAGAAAACCCTGACATGTTTCCTCAAACTTAGTTTAAACAAACAAACAAGCCAAAAAAATGAAACGGTTGAAAAAAAATGCTGATTTTGATGGAGGGAGGAGGAGAGTTATTTTAAAGAATGGCTGTTATTTGTGTTTCCTGTTCAAGAAATGTTTTTCTTATTTACTTTATAGTGATTTGATTAATGCATATGTAAATTATTTCATAAAAGTGTTTCCCCCCCCCCAAGCTCTAAACTCTAGCTTATTTGCAATAATTTGGACTACAACACCATGGACTATTCCAGCAAACCAACTAGTCTGCTATTGTGCTGATAAAATGTAAGAAATACTCTTTGTTTTTGACTTAAAATAGTTTTTATTGGAAGTACTGAATTTTTATATATATAAAGATATTGTTGTATAGATACAGTCTGGTCAAATGCACAAGACGAAATGAATTTTATTTAATGGCACAAGAAATGATACCTTCTGTATCCAGCTCACTAATGACTGAATTACAGATTATAGAGACATTTGAAGGTTAGTTGCATGTGCATATAATGTTTCAACTCTACAGTGTTTAGATGTTATTAAACTAACTGGTTAACTAAAATTCCATTCCTAAAACTAGAACAATAATCTGTCTGAATTAACTTATTCTTTTAAGATAAAGAACTAGAACTGATGTAGGTAGTAATAGATTTTTTTATATAGTTTCCATGATATTCCTAAAAAATTGCAAAATGTATTAAAAATACAAAATTGTCTTAAATGCTGTATTTTTTAGGAACTTTATTGAAAGATATGAAGTACCTTCATCCTATGTCAAAAGATCAGGAATGTCCTTTTGTTCCTGCCCATCATGTTACAATGACTAAGGGAACTGGCTTAGTGCATTCAGCTCCTAATCATGGACTAGATGATTTTATTGTAGCCAAGAAACAACACTTGCCTATCAATGTAATTTTAAATTTATAAAAAATGGTTATAATCTTAAAATCTTTATTCCTATTCCCTATCCCTTCCTCCTAGAGTTTTGGTATTAAGTATTAGTTATGTGTTCCAACAGCAAAATTAATGTGTCCATTTTTAATGTGATGATGGATTTAAAATAAGAACTTTGTTATGTAATATTTTCATTTGCACTATATTTTTTATATCACCATACAGATTCTTTTTACATCACAAAGCTTAATTCAGAAGTCAAACAACAAAAATCAGCGTTATATTTTAAAATTTTCACAGTATTTTGAAAATATAATGCTGATTTTTGTTGTTTGACTTCTGAATTAGTATTTGTTCAGCGTGTTATTGTGTCTTAATTATCACAAAGCTTATTTATGTTTGTGTAATTTTATAAAATTGTATGTTGTATTATATAACTCAATTTCTCTATTTGTTTGAATCAAATCTTGCAATTAGTTTTGAGCTTCTTTAAGCCCCCCCCCTTTTTTTTTTTTTTTTTTTTTTTGAAAATTTTTATTTGATGCATCTTTATAGTGACAATAAAATATTCAAACTAATCTCAGCAGAATTTCGATCTTTGCATTGTCTGATGAAGACTTTTTGCCTTGAAGTATTATATAAATTTTTGTTTGCTTTAAAAAATTATTTAATAATGTTAGCTATTATTTGTAAATCAAAAGACTTTTTTTACTATTTGATTCCTTCACTGTTATGAGCATTGTGATTTCGAATAATGAGGAGATCTGATCTTTAAATGAATTAATATCATGCCATCACATTGATTGGGAGGTCTTAAAAAAGATGATGTCATGCTTATTTCATTGTTAAATGGATTGGAATGAATAGTTTTCTTGTGTTTAGAAGCAATAATTTTCCTTTTTTATTATTTTTCTGGATTTTATAGAATAAGAAGTATAAAATAAAGTATACTAAAAAATTTAAATTATATGGTTTTAGTTCTAGTACATAATTTTTTTTAATACTTTTTTTAGTTGTTGTACTATTCTTGATCATATGTGACTAAAATTAAAAATCTTAATATTTGTATAAGAGTTATGTTAGGACATAACAGAATTTTAAAGAACAATAAAAATAATTGTATATATGTGACGTGTTATCAGTATTAAAACATTTAATTAATATATTAGAATTTTTCTTTGACCATCCTGATTTAAAATTTATCATTGTTAGCAGATCCAAGATAATATTTTTATTTACATAAAGCCTGAATAGGAGAATTATGATAACTATATTTTTACTTATAGTGCATTTAATTAAAACCATGTAACTTAAAAATTACACACACACACACACACACACACACACACACATATATATATATATATTAATTTCAATATTAGAATTATGTTATCTTTTGCTGTAGATCTACGATTTTTGTATACCGTCATCATTATACATAATTTTCTTATTTTTAAAATTTATTTTTAAGAAAAGTATTGAAATTCTTTTTCATTTCTTCGCATTATATTCTCTTCCTATTCTTTTATTACTAAACATGAATTTACTTAAATGAAATTTGATACATTAAAAGCAAAACGATTTTTAATAGAATTGTTTTATCAGAATGAATTAATTGATGAAAGAAAATTTAATTGAAAAAAAAGTTGCATTGTAGTGTTGTGAACTACAGATTCAAGAAGACACTTTTCCCCAAAACAGAATTCAAAGTTTTTCCTCTTCCAATTCAGAGATTGCATGTTTTTCAGTTTTTAGAAATTTTTTCATGTGTATCTTAAATCATAAAGAATTTTTAATATAATATATTAAACATTATTGCCATACTTAGTAATCATGATGTGTAATTATCAATCATGCTAATATACCAAAAGTTAAGGAACAGCATGTTTTTTTTGTGTCTAATTTGAGAATGAAGCAACATAGAAACAAGAAATTTATATGACATGTTCACTAAACAGTTCTTTAATGAATGTGATGTAGAATGTTTCTAAAGTTCAACACAAACATGAATTATAGCCAAAAATTGTGCTCTTGGGAGAGAAATCCAACCTTGGAGAAACAGTATATCACAGTTTTTTGAGGAAAAACATTCCAAAAAAAAAAATAAATAAATAAAAATTACAAAAATGAGTTCTAATAAGGAATGTGTCCACCCCTAGCTGCAATACATTGGCAGCAGTGACTGTCAGTTAATTGTCAGTCAGTGAAATTGGAAGCAATAACCAGACGTGGAGAAATTTTTGTTCAAGCTCATCTAACAACCTTAGAGGAGGACTTAAAGCAGCAAACTGTCTCCCAAGATAGTCCAAAAGATGCTCTATCGGATTCAAGTATGGGGATTGAGTTGGCCATTCCATCCGCTCAATACCGTCACCCTCAAGATATTCTTCAACAACCTCAGCTCGAAGTGGTTGTGCATTATTGTCCATCAAAAGAAATCCAGGATCAATAGCAGTGGCATATGGGTGGACATACTGATCAAGAATCTCATTTCAATATCTCACATAGGTCAAAGTTCCTCCATGGAACACATGCTGATCAGTGTGACCACCAAGAGAGATCCCAACCCAAACCATTATTCCACCACCTCTGTAACTGTTTCTTTCCACAATGTGGGATTGGTTGTATCTGCTGCGTTGTTTCCTCCAAATCAGCTGACAGCCCGAATCCTCTCCAATGTGAATGGGACTCATCTGTTAGGGGAACAGGCACCCCCTTTGTTGACTGGTTCAGGAGACATGTTCTTTTGCCCAGCATAAACGGCACTTCTGTGTCCTTGTGTCAAGAGCACACAAACAACTGGTCATCTTGCATGCAAACCTGTATTGTGCAGGCATCTGTGCACTGTAGTAGCTGAAATTCTTGTCCCTGTTGCCACTAAATGATCCACCATGAGCTGAGGCACAGTAATGTTACTCCTTTTTCAAGCCGAAAGAGCTAAATAACAGTCTCCCACAGATGTTGTAACTCTGAGTTTGCCTAGAACATGTCTTCTAGACAGATTCCTCAGATTCAAACTGATTCCATAGTCAATGGACCAGAGTACAAGAGACATTGAGACTTCTAGCAGCATCAGCTTGTGAAATCTCCATTTTCATCCATCCGATCGCCTGCCACTTCAACGAGTTGGGCAAATGACTTCTCCTGAACATTCATAAGACTCTCGTGGATATTGTCCACGAAACTGTAATAATAACTGAAGATCAACACACGTGAACGAAAATTACAAACAATTTTTACATTTTTCTCCAACTCCTATATAAGTATTCATTTCTATAAAATAAAAGTGTTAGCTATTGTTTTTGCATATATTTTCTTAAAGTTCATTACTGTCATGTTTATGAACTGTGAATTCAAACATTACTGACATTTTTGTAATAGTCAGCTTTGAAAGGCATGCTGTTCCTTAACTTTTGGAGGGAAGTGTATTTAAAAAAAAAAAAAATGTTATTAATGTCTCTCTCCTTATCATATTTTACCTTTTCTACATCAGAAAGCTATATATTTATTTTTTATTTCATACATACAGAGATGTCTTGTAGATGAAAATGGTTGTTACACAGATGGTGCTGGAGAAATGTTGAAAGGAAAAGCTGTACTTTATGATGGGTCAAAAGCTGTGTTAGATCTCTTGAATGAAGACATTCTTCATTTAGAGCAGTACACTCATAGTTATCCATATGACTGGCGTAGTAAAACACCAGTAATAATTCGTAGTAGTCACCAGTGGTTTATTGATGTTCATCAGATTCGAGATAAAGCAATGGTAAATTTTTATTTATTTATTGAGTGTTTGCTTTAATAGTTCTAGTGTACTGAGGTTAGGTACAAAATTTAAGTAGCAGATAAATATATGTTTAAGTAATAGAAAATTTTAATAAAAAAATTACCCATATTGTTATCTAAGTGCAATATTTTTCAGATGAGCAGATTTTTAATCTCCAGCATATCAGAACTAAGCCATGGCACTATTATTCTAAACTGTAAAGGAGGGCAAGAGTAACTTTTTTTCACCCATGTATATGAGGATTTAGGCTTGAAATATTTTGAGTAAAATTTAATTTTATTTCATAGTATATTAGCTTAAATTTATAATGTATAAAATGTAAATATAAGCACTGGAACTTCTAAAACTATCAAATCCATTTTTATGATTTATTTAGATTTATATACCCATTTGGCTGTGTGTTGCCAGGCTGGTTAAAGTAGCAAAATACTTCGTGGTTTGTTATATTCTTTATAAATGAGGACGCTGGCTTCATATAATTATGTTGTTTATCTGTTAACATACACAAAAGCTAATTTCTCTTGAAAAGTCTTCTACAAAGGTGTACATGCCATAGGCAAGTATATCCCAAATTATTACTCAAATGCTTTGTCATTAAACATTCTTTCAACCAGGTATTTTTATCCAGCAGATAATTGTTCTCTAAAAAGGGTGGTTTTTCTATCTCAGACTGGTTGTAGACTCAAAGTATAACAGTAAGATCAGAACAGAGAAAAACTAGGGTCTGGTTTAAATCCCTTGACCAGAAACAAATTTCAAAATGTTAAATTTAAGCCTTATGTAAATGAAGCAAAATTAATAGAAGTGTTTCCTTGTTTATACTTATTAAATGTAAGAAATTTTTTATTTAAGAGCAGTAACCTATTGTTTGAAATGCACCACTATAAATAAGATGTTTGGTGGTGGGAACTTAAGAAAATAATGATATTCTGATATGCTGTGAGGGGGGATGGAATATTAATAATTAAGAATCAGTGTTTTAGATCAATTCGAAAAAATATCAGTATGATTTCAGAAGATACTGAAGCAGTTATTTAACACCAGACCCGGGTTTGAGTGTTTGATATTCAATCTCCTTCTTATTGTTTGTTGTTGTATTGTCCATGTATTTCATGGAAGAATGGTTGCTGGAGCCTCAAGGAGGTTACTGATTAACTTATTAACTGAATTATTAGTATTAGCATATGGCAGAATTGTGATTCACAAATAAATAAAATTTATTTTTGTGCAACATATTATGTAATTAAATATTACCAGCTTTTGAAGGTGAATATTGTAGCTTTTTTCAAGGAATGTTAGTTCCTGAAAATATTGTTATCACATCATGAATAGCAGTAGTAAAGTAATGCAATTACATCCTCATATCTGCTAATTTGGTTCCACAGTTTCATTTATTTGTGGTTTATTATGGTATCAAAAAGAAGGGGAAAAAATGTGTTTCTAAATCTCATGAAATGACAACATGACAAGAAATATATGTAGTAACTCAAATATGCCCACTATCATTGACCTCTCATAGTTATTATAACCACAGGCATCAGCATGATCATTTGAGATAATGAAGAGATCAAATAAAATGAAAGTAGTCATAGCAAATACTTTTATGTAATCTTAGCTTATGTGTTATTCCTTACATTCGTGAGTTTATTTACTGACATCCTGCTTATAGCAAGTTAGTGGCAGGATTTTGCAATTAACATTGGTCAAAGAATATTTGTCTCATTGTTTTCATAAACTAATTTCTTCATTTAATTTGCTACTACTCGTTTTTAATATTATTCTCTTCTTATCAATGCCACATTAATCACTTTTTTTATTTTGTGTGTGTGTGCATGTATGCTTTGTAATGGAAAAAGAAATGGGTTTTATTTCTGTCTAGCTTTGAAACAGTATATTTTGTTATAGAATAGAGGAACCACATTTCTCCATTTTTCACTCATCTTTTGCAGTATAACGTATGATAGTCTCAAATTAAACATTAGTGTAGTTTCCATTAATGTTTGATTTGAGATTGGTAATATCTAGCAGCATATAATTTACAAATAAAACTTGACCATGTTAATTACACAAATGTCTGATTTATATAATATTTAGTATTATCTGTGGTTTTGCTCATCCACAGTTAAGTTGTAGAACATGTTGGCTACAGATATGGGTGAAATGTTGTATATTATGTTGTTTATACAATTTTAAATATTGATTTTTAAATTATCCATCAAAATTTCATGTAGGTATGTTTGGCTATTATAGGAACATTTGCAGAAAGTAAATGTTATACCTGATCAACTGAAAAATCTGTTTCTTAGCCAACTGAGTAATTCGCCACAGTGGTGTATATCTCGTCAAAGGGTTTGGGGTGTACCAATTCCTGTATTTTATGCTGAAGACAAAAGTCATCCTATTATTCACAGGTAAAATTTGCTTATTTATATGTATGTGAGGATTATTCTTTAAGTGAAAATCACATTAGGAAAAAAATTAATTACTAAACATTTTGGTTTTTCAAATGCTTCGTATTTCAGCTATTTATTCCATGTAGTTTCCATTGTTAAAATATTTTCAAAGCATGAGACAACTTTGAATAGAATCTGTGTTTTAGAAATGTTCTTTTGATTTCCTTATCAGTTTGAAAACACTTTCTGACAAGCAAATTCTTTCATCAAAGGATCTTTCTGAGATTAAGGAAAAGTATTAATGCCAGGTTTAAGCTGTACTGGAGATGATTTAATTATTGCCAGCTAAAATATACAAGTGCACTCGATTTATTATGTGCATTCTTCTAAACAGTCTCATGGGCTTATGAACTTTGTCATCAGTGATGGCAAATGGATCTATGTTTCACAAATCTGCAAGACATCTGGGCTAATGTCAGATTTTTTATAGTCAAAATGTGAATAATGGACCTTACTTCACAGTGGTGGGCCACTGAATTTTAAACAATTCCATCACAACATGAAAAACATGCTGATGTTATTCAAAATGATATCTATTTAAGTACCAGGGGACACTACACATGTAAAGAATTATGAACATAGATTCTTTAAAAATTACTTTACAGTTTTTTTACTTACACTTCTCAGAGTCATTTGTAGCTTGATCTATCAGCTAAAATGCCACCAAATTTGGTTGGGGACTAATGACAACATAGGAAAAAAAATTCATTAAAAAATTTAGTTCTGAAAGTTGCCAATGGAGGAAAATTGACTCTGTTGTAGTTTACATAGCTGAAAATTAGATAAATGAATAACCTCAGTTCAACACCATTTTAATACAGCAAATGAACTGCCCCAAAGGGTTGCAGAGATTATATTTTAGTGCGTTATAGCACTTTATTCAATAAAAACACTTCTTTGGCAAGGGCATAGAGTTTTTTCAATTCAACTACCCTTCTTACAGAGACTACGCATTGCATCCTGTGCATAACATTTTCAATGGCTGAATGTAATGTGTCACCAAGAATGCTCAGCACAGTCCGTGATATGTTGCACTTTAAGGTCATCACAAGTCTAGACTGCATAAGATAGACCTTGAACTTCAAATAACTCTACAGGAAAATGTCATGTGTTGTTAGATCAAGAGAGTGAAGCTTTGTGCAAATGGAAAAAATGCACTTATGACCTTTCTTCTGTAAAGTCATGGCACAACAGCTGCTGAACAAATAGACCAATGAGCAGTGATGCTCTATCCTACATAAAAGTTACCTGATCCAGCAATTGCCTCTGAATTGCCAATGAAATGACAAAACTAGTCATATATCATGATACATTTATGTGGTAATAGTGTAAGTCTTTGGTCCTATTAAAGTAATTTCTCAAGAAAATATCATTTAGGGATAAAATTTGCTATGAAAACACACCAAACAGTGACATTTTGTGATTGCAATGGGCTTTTCTAAATTGCAGAAATGAAGTCACTTGCAGTGAAAATCTGAAGTAATTTTTATTTCATTTTCTTGAGATTAAAATCAGATGAAAAAACCAGAAAAGTTATGCAATCTCAATCTGTTTTTTCCATCAATTAAAGTTTCAAATATAATTTGATGCAAAAGTTTAATAGATTTTGTGGGAGCTCTTCTTGGAAATAGAACGAAGCATAGTCATTTTCAGTAGCAGTATTTACTATTCTTACAAGTAACAGTATGCAAATAAATAGTTTGAAACAAACTTACTCATCCAAGGTCATAATCTTTCATTCATTGTCGTGATTTGTTCCTTATCCAAATGATTGTTACACACTATGGAAATGGACAACAGGAGCATAAATATTTATAGGAAATTTGTCATAATAAAGAAAAATAAAAAGTTCTTTATAACATCGTACAACTTCTGTTAATGTCTTATTCACATCTTCTTCTTCTTCTTCTTTTTTTAAGTGACAGCCTTGTCTGCATTTTTCAACAAAATTGTTCCATCTATGGCATTAAGTGCCACCTGTCGATCATGAAAGATGACATCCCCAATTAATGAAGATAAATTAGTGCATAAAATTTTTTATATATTTGCGATTTCAATAAATTAAAAAAAAAAAAAAAAAAAAAAAACCCAGAAGAAGCAAAATTGGATTTAAAGGAAAAAACATGAACTTTTTAAAATTGGACTGCAAATTTTAATAGGGTTCTAAAGCTTGCATTTATTGTCAAAATATATATTATGTTATGTTAAAAATTGTGTAATTATTTAAAACAATTCCAAGGGTGGATCCAGAAAAAAAAAAAAAAAGAAAAAGGTTACAAGGGTAGTAAAAAATAATTTATTAACGATAGACAGAAAATACAAAAGGGAATTAAGATGTATACTTGCCTATCAATTTTTCACATAATCACCAAATCTGTGGCATTTATCTGAATGCAGGACTAACTTGTTTAACCTGGCTTTATAGAAGTCATGTCCTTGCCCATTGAGCCAATTCTCAGTGCCTGTTTTCACATCCCCATCTGAAGAAAATCTCACTGCAGATAAATGTTCCTTCAATTTCGGAAAAACAAAAATAGTCACTGTGCTGTATATGGGGTGACTCCAGATTTTTTCACTTTTGGAGCAATTCTTGTTGGGCAAGCGGTATGAGGCTCGGCGTTGCAATGCATGGTGATGACATCATCACTCAACAAGCCAGGGCCCTTCCATTGGATGGCTTCACATAACCTGGTCAAAGTGGCACAATAACGATCAGCAGTAACGGTATAGCCACTCTACAGATACTTGATCAGGGCAACAAATCACAGCTCACACTTCCAAGCGAGACCACTTTTCAATCATTATAATGTGTCCATGAACGTACTATAACAACCTGTACTACCACTGCTAGACAACTAGTGCCATCTGCCTACACTCTGGGGATAAAGTGTTCCCTCCACAATAATTACTTTTCAAATGCTGATGCATGTAACATTTGGGGGGGATCCACCCTTGTATTTAGATTTTTTTTTTTTTTTTTAATTTTCTCCATAAGTATATTTCTTTTGTTTTGGTGCTCTCCTTTAGCATTTAAACCAAAATTCCAGGATATATATTATGCATATTATATTTTATTTTGCTTCTGTAATGCTTGTCATGTCAAAAGAACTTTTCTGTTGTTAAGACTTTTTCACTTTGAAAGAGGGGAAATATATACCAAAAATATGTAAATCAAAATTCTACAGTCAAAAGTCATTAATCCGGACTCGTCGGGACTTCGGCGATTCCAGATTATCGATTTTTCCGGATTATAGATCATCAGTTTAAATACCGTAAGATGGCATGCAGAAATTCTAAAATTAAAAATATGAAACCGTAATTTATGAAATAAAGAACAATTATAATCTAAAAGGGTATCAAAATTTACAGAAAAAAAGCTTAATATGTATTTGTTTACTTTATTAAACATTTCTTTCAATGTAAGTTGTTTAAGTTGCTTCATTTTATGTGATAATACTTTCTCTTTAATTCTATAAACAGACATAATTTCTTGTTCAGTTACAAAGTTCCGCTGTTCAAGTCCCATAATTGCTGTGCCGAGAATACCGACTAACTTGTCAATCGAAATTTTTTCATTTTCACTAACCTCTCTGTCACCTTCTTCATGTTTTTATCCATTTTTTGCAGCAATTCCACTTTTTGTTTGACGGACATCGAAACATACTTTCGTTTTTGTAGATCTTTTAGGAGCTCCAGCATCGGAAATTCTATTTGACATAATCGAAAGTTCAAGTTTACTTTTATAAAATTGCTCTTACAGTCTGCAAAAAATAATAAGCCGCATCCAATTCGAAGTTAAGGAACAACGAAATCATCAACATTAACTGAAATAGATAATTAGATAATTTTATATTATACCGTCCATTATACATTAAACGCGCACGCGAAAACGTATTCTGCGTTTGCGCACACGCATATGCGCAGTCGTAAAGGTCTTACGCGCACGCGTAAACGCCTATGCGCATGTGTCAACGCGGCGCATGCGCAGAAAGTTTTTAACTTTGAGGTCTGGATTATAGATCATTCCGGATTATGGGTGTCCGAATTAACGACTTTTGACTGTAACTTAATTTAGTAATAGTCCTTTAATTCTTTATTTTAATTTGGGTATTTCCTCTTTCTGTTCTAAAAATAGCAAATCCTGGTAATAATTTTTTCTGGACTATGGCATTTTTAGATTAATCCATATCATACGAATTTTACATAATGCTGGTGATGTAAACAGAACTGAAACTCAAATAGTCGAAATTTAATAGCTTTATTAATTATTCTGTCAAATGGTATTGAAATTGAAACTAATTCATTCTTAATTAAGATTTTGTTCTGAAGACTTCACTCCTGCTTTTCAGCCTGGCTATACTGCTGTTGCCTTGCTCTCTTCTTACCGCAAATATGTCTAAAATGTAAGTGTAATGTTCTGAAGGCAGAAATAATGTCACGCACAAAACATGAAGCATGAATATCTCCATATTACTTTAAATTTCTTTAATTACTTTCAGTCAAATTAAGTAATTAAATCAAGTTGGTAACAACGAAGGTCTTGGAAATCAAGGTCATATGGTGCTTGTTGCGTTTAAGCAGAAATGTTATAGCCTAAAGGCCCAAATTAAAATATGACAATAATGTCAAAAATAAAGTGATGTAAGTATATCAACATAAAGTTTAATCTCAGCTGTATATCTCTGCCTACAGAATATACTGTCAGTATTTATATGTAGATTTTCTTTGCATAAAGTGCATTTTTAACCGAGGTAAAATTATGTAAACTCTTTTTTTATTAATGTAGAATTATAATTCTTCATAATGGTCTGAAGGGAATGCAGAAATTAAGACCTTTTTAAGGTGTTCATGAATGCTTATGCTTATGCTTATATCTTCAAAACTACAAATGCCATGATCAATCTAAATACATTTATAAGTAGAACAAAGAGCACATTAGCAAACTCTTTTTTTTTTTAATTGGACAAAGGATATATGCATAGTAATGTATCAATAATCACACAATTTTGGTGAAGTCAAAGCTCCATGCACATGCACGTTTGCATGTGAGTGGCAAGGTCATTGTGGTAGACAGTCATGCATAGACAGTCAGTGTATTCAGGTGGTGTTTGCTGTATTTTATTTTATTTCACCAAGCTAGTGGTGTTATGATTTATAGAAATTTGACGCATGTAGCAGATTTTGCACCAGTATAATTTAATACAGGATTAGAAAGTATAAGAGGGATTAAAGGATTCAGAAGCAGGCAATATTTGTATGGTTGGTGTAATTGTCAATGGACAATCAAGATTTATTCCACCTTCTATAGTTATTCATCCAAGTGTTAATTCAGGAGATTTGAAGGTGTTCTTGTTTAGTACTGTGGTGTAGTGTTAATGCTTCAACAGTGGGGTGTTGAACTCCAATGGAAATTCTAATGATGGAACACCGCATGAAAATTGTGTTGAATGCCCCCCCCCAAAATGTCTACATACCATCAACAAGAGAAAAACCTATCTCCTTTTTAAACAAATTCAAATTCTCTACATTTTACGTGCGAGAGCAATATGTGGCTCTCGAGCCTGCATTTGAAACAATGCCAACATTAATTTTATTTTTTTAAATAATTAATTCAACTTAGCAACTATTGAAAACATATAAAAGTTAAATAATAATATTCATTTTATGCTCTCGAGACATCCTTGTCCATATTAATCTTCAGTTTCTTCTTCCTTTATGCAACCTTATCACAGTACATTTAAGAAATATTTTGAGACTACTTTATTGATTGATGAAGAAGATACAGATGTTCCTGTTATTATGATCAGGGATTTCAGTGTAGAGCTTAAATGAACTAAAAAGGCATTTGATTTTATGAAACATCATTTTAATCTCAGTGTGGCGCTGAGTAACTAAACAAGTGCATTTGGGAATTCATTTATAGATTTAACATTTACTAGGAATATAACTGCAGACATCTTAAATTATGTAGTTTACTTTTCATATCATTGACAAGTTTTACACTGGGTCATTTGAATGAATAAATTTTAAAATATATATATATATGTGTGTAAAATTTTTTGTTTGTTTTATTTGTTCTATAACATCCTCACACTTCTGTTGGTAGTCTTATGCATTATACACCTGCAGCTCTGTTAACTAAAAGAGATAATCTACCATCATTTTTCTTTAAGCTTATAATTTTTACCTACTATACTTTCTTTGTCATATAATAGAGAACCCAGTAAAAATAAGGAGAATAAAGTAATAATGGAAGTAAATATAGTTTATTGAAAAAATAAGTTGTTAAGCAATAATTTTTGAAGCACAGTAATTTGATATTTTACTAGCAAACAGTGTGAAAATTTTGTGATGTAGTTATTTGAAATCTGTATCATTTGTCCCAAATTTTAGATGTATTTCATGTATATTTATTTTGACATTAATGAAAATTTACTTACTTAAAAACTAGATTTGTAGTTTACTTAATTTCTGATTTTTTTTTTCCCCCATAGAGCTATAACTGATCATCTGTGCTCTCTTATTCAAAAGCAAGGGATCCATTGCTGGTGGGAGTTAGATTTGGATCAGTTATTACCTCATCATTTAAGAATAAAAGTATTTTTTTTTTTTTTTTTTTGTCTTTAGAAAGCTTTAAGCTATCTTTAATATAAATCATACAACATGTACTTTAATATGACTGATATAACTTGTTTATGCCAAAAATATGTAATAGTATATTGCTGGCATATGCAGATAATTTCACATTTTAGAGGTGTGATCATTTAAGAAATACTTTATTTAAAATGTTACTCTCTAGGCTAAGCACTTTTATTTAAATTTTTTAAGTAAAAGTTTTCATTTGTTGTGACGTTTGTATTAGCAAATACTGCCATTTTTGATTCTGATGAAAAAAGTCATACCACTAAATCCACACCATGTGAATTTATGTGGCTGTTTAATACTACATGTTAACATTTTATTATGACTGTACTCATTATATATTCTCAAGACATTTTCATATAGAATTTTTTTTTTAAATAAATTCTGGCAAGTCAGTAACCCACGGCAAATGATTAACTAACATAACTATGCTTGATGTAGAGGACTGTATAGACAAATTAAAAAGTAATTTTTGTGAATAAAAATGTCATTAAAATGTAAATTTTGCCTTTAATTGCGGTTTTAATTTAATATCATCTTAAACTCATACACATATTACTTTTATGTGTGTTTCACTTTAAAAAAGTGAAAGTTAAGTTTAGCTTTTTAAATAATTTTCATTGTTTTTATTTCTCTACTATATCTGTCTTCAACTGAAACTCTAAGAATATATATTATAATAATTTTTTACTAAAATATATATTTTAGTAAAGAATTAACATGAAACTATAACTATGTAACATTTTCAGTGTAATTTACAAGACCAGAAATACAGAAAATGCTCAGATATAATGGATATTTGGTTCGATAGTGGAATAAGTTGGAAATCTGTTCTTCCAGGTGGGTTAAAAATTTTTCATTTGAAGATTACTAAAACTTTTTACTAAAAATTCTTTCCTTAAATCTGACAACTGCAGTCAAGATTGAGAAATCATTGAAAACTGTACCAATTCATTTGATTAAATCCAGATTGCTTAATTGTTTTGTAGACTGACATGCATTGATTGCCATTAAACCCATTAGCTGCTGGTGTTGCATTTGCGTATATAAATATAACTACCTAAGATATTTTATACCAACAGATGATCTTGGGTGGGGAATATTATGAAGATTATTTCTGTAAAAAAAATATTTGCCTTCAACAATCATTTTGTTTATAATACTTAATCTCATACTTTAAGCAAAAATTTTGACTGGGTATATCTGCCGAAAATATTTAACGAAAAAAATCGCCATCTTTGTACGTGATCTATTTTTAGTCAAGGTCACCATTTATCAAAATATTATAGTATTACTAAAATCCCTAGCATCCCTTAAATTTAACTCTTAATTTTATCTTCAATTGGATCTCGCTTCTATAAAAAAAATAAATAAATAAATAAAACCTGTCCCTTGTCTGAAATCAGTATTATCATCAATTCATAGTCCTTCCAAAGTTTGTATTGCTCTGGACAGTTAGTTTTTGCTTTCCTCATATGAAATTCCACTGCTTTCAATATATCTACTGCCATAGATATCAACTGATATACATCTTGAGTGGTGCTGGCTCTATAACGTAGATTGTAAGAAAGGAATATAACATTTTAGGTGATTTTTGAATTTTTTAATGTGGAATTTCAAAGCATAACCATGGAAAATGGCAATCATTAAACCAAATATAAGATGATACAATTGAAGAGTTTGGGTTGAATCATTCAGTCCTTCTGGAAACCACAAAAATGATATTTTCTATCTTCCTCCACACTTTCTTTTATAAGAAGGCTTTAATGTTTCACTAAATCTCTGCAAAATGCAGCTTAATTTTCCCAAAATTAAGGAATCATGTCCATTAAATTTGCATTGAGATTTTTTCCCGATTCTAGAGACTCATTTAAAGATTTATTTATTTCATTTGCCTTACTGCTACAATCATAAAAAATTCTAATTCAAGTAATTTCCTTGGCATTCCTCTTTTTTTTACCTTTAATGCACATTATCTTTACGTTTTATCATCTTTAAGTAACTTTTATTTTTTAGAGGATGATCGGAGTCTGTCAGTATTATTAAGCCTTTTAAAACCCTGTCTATTTCATTTTCAATCGTTCTTCATGTGTGATCTGAAAGTAGCAGATGAGCCATAATTTAAAAAAAAGGGCAGAAAGAAAAAAAAAAAAAAAAAATTTAATTAAATTTAGAAATTTGTTAGTACATTTTTCATGTATATATATATATATATATGTATAAAAATAAGGCCAAAAAAATTGTACTTATTTTCTGCCTGAAATCTAAAACTTGGTATCTACAAGAAGTTTCTCTTGGTCACAATTTGTAATTCAAACTCGTTTACAGCAAAATATTAAAAATTTCAGGTTGATATTTATTCAGATAATTGTAATATATTGAAGTTACTACTAAAGAACTTACTTTTAACTCGAAGTAAAACGAAATGTGTGAAAACTCCCAAGACAGACCAAACTTGGGAATGAACAAATTCCCTTCCTTTCATGTATTAAATTTTTTTTATTTGCTTGGAGAAAAAATAATATTTGTACATAAATAATTATGAACTTCTATGTTTGTTATACCTATCAGGTAAACCTCTCGGCATTTTGATTTTCATGAAGTTTGTTAATTTTGCAGCAAAATTACTAGAAAGTTTCTTCATCTCAAATTGTAAATACTCATCAGCAGTCTGGTTCTTTTTGTAGATTTATTAATTTTCAAATATGAAAAAAAAATTGTTAGAACGTAAATGTAACGAAACAAGGCACTTATTTTTATTGCGAAAATTCATATCTGAGAATACTAATCTGTAGATGAGTGCTAATAAAAATAATCTTGTATAAGATTTATATCATAGTGTCAAGTAATTAAATCCATTTCTAGATTTTCCAGAAAGTTGCGTTTGTTTTTGATACTGAAAGTAATGTAAAATTGGACTCCAAATCATTAAAATCTTTTTCTTCAAACTCTTGTCATAATAATGTTAATTAATTTAGAAGAATTATATTTGCAGGCCACATAAAATTACTTCGGGGACCGCCAGTTTGAGATTGCAGCATTATCATATGGAACTTTAAAAGAAGCCAAGAAATAAAAAATGCAATCTTTAAACTAAGTGTACAGTACAATGTAAAATTTTGAAGCAGAATACTTGCCTTTGAATAATAATATTGCCTAAAACTAAATAATTGAACCAAATTCAGGGCTAAACAATGAATACTGATTTCATCCATCTGCATGCAGTGAAAGTACCACATGCATTTAAAGAAAATTCGAATATGCTTTCATTGTGCAGAAGAAAAAAAAAAGTTTTTCTTCCGTCCTTGTAAAATACACTATTTTGATGATGTTGGTATTCACAAAGTATGGAGAAGCAAAATTAAAGGACACGTCAGCATGTAGTTCAGTTTGTTTTAAATTTCTGATTCTAAATAAAATCCATGATTGAATGCAATGCTGTTTATTTAAAGTAATCAATAAGGATTTTATTATTTGAATGTTTTAAAAAAATAATTAATTCCCCCCCTTTTTCCCCCCTATTTCAAATTTATATAGGCATGTGCCACATGCATCACGTGTTCTAAGATGACACCATTGCAATGCCCTGAATGAATCACATCATGTTAGAATTTTGATCTGATAATTGCTTGAATATGAATCAGCCAAATGTAATCCCTTTTCTTTCAACACACTGCAAATTAAAATGCTCGAAACTTTCAAGTATAAATTTGATATATATTCTGTTATGCGTGCCTCTAACACATTCATCCTCATTTCATAATAAATAACATTTGAGAAAGAATATGAAATTATTCCATGTGCGAAAGCAAAAGTTGCTACCCATTCATAGCATATTGGCTTTATTTTGAATTCTTTTACCAATGGAGACGATATGAAGATTCTTTGTTTACCATTATCTGAAATAAAATTAGTTCTAACCAATTTTCTCTCTCAACATGCTAAAATTGTACATGTTTTTAAGAAGGCCTTACTTATTTCTGATACAAATATAATTGTGATTTTTATTAGATTTAAACTGTGAGTCATCCAGATTTCAAAAACCTGTCATCGCAGGATGAATGGAGTTATGTTTTCTACAAATTGACTCATAATAAAATTTTCTCTTTAATTTAATCTTAGGAACAATATTTTATTATCATATTCTTCTAAACTTTTAACTTCTTTTTTCCTGTAAAAATTTTCAAAATTCTTTATGAGTGCTTCTCTAAATCATAGCTTTTCAAAATCTGCTCCCTCCTTTCTAAATGTTCCAGTACCTATAATAATGAGTTTAAGTCTTTGATAACTTCTTTGAGCTTTAGAACTTTTTTAACAAGTTTAATAACACTGGTGTGAATGTTATGTCTTTTTTCAACTATTTTCAAAGATAATCCATATTAATTCAGAATTTGTAAATTCAAAGAGACTTTACTTTCACAGATCGAAATACAAAATTTGCGATTTATCTATTTTTATTCTTCCTAGAATTAAGTTTCCAAAAACAGCCAATTACTTCCAATATTTTCTTTTTGCCAATTGCTTGCTACCCAATATATACCAATATTGCATACAATAATGATTATGATGCATGAATGTGCTTAATGGTGCAAGAATGCTCCTGTAAATAATAACAAATATAACTAAGTATACAGTACAAATACACTAAGTGTACAGATATATTATTAGGCTATCTGTGCCATCCACATCTTGCACACTTATCTTCTCACTTGCCACTGACTACTGAACCACAGGCAATGCACTTTAGCGGAATGGCATGGGAAATATGTAACAAACACCATGTTGGCACTGGGACTTTTTCCAAGTTTATGTTCACTTCTGGCATACAGTTTACGGCTGCCATGTTTCTGCAATTTTATTTTATTTGTATTATTATTATCTTTATAATTTTTTGTGCTCAAAGTTTTTAATTACTCTTTGTGAGTTTTTATTCAAGTCTTTTTTCACTAAAGTTTTATAATTTCACTTACACTTTCAATTCTTTGGATTATGTGCTCTTTGTTTAAAGGTAAAATTTTGATTTAAATTTTTCACTAAAATATTTTATTACTTCACTTAATTTTTAATTCTCTGAATAAAGTTGTCTTATTTAAAGGTAAAAAAAAATAATAATAATTAGAATTTATTTCTTTACTTGCTTTGGGGAGGGAAAGAAAATATGATAAAATAAGGATTGAGAACTCTTCTCATCACAGTGAAACTAAAAAGATCATTGTTTGGATTGCAACCATTTCAAGAGAGTTTGCATTAGCAATTTATCAGTAATCTTGGTGTACAGAACAAGGGCTGTAATAATAAGGAAGTATCAAAATTTGTCATGAAGAGTTTTTCAATAATTAGTTTTTTATTTTTATTAAACTGTAGAGCAATAATGTATATTTGATTTGTGACCTTAAGCAACAATAATAAAAATATGAAATTTTATTAGTGTTTTTAAGTCATAAATTTAAAATACAAGCTTTTTCAAGATTTAAATAAAGTTGTTTAGTCAATACATAATAAAACTGTACTGTAACATTTTGTTTCAGCATTTAATGAAATAACTAATGAGCTTCATAGTAAAATATAGATTTTTTTATTGGAGATAGATAACTTTAAAATACAATTCTATCTGTTACAGCATCACATTCCAGCTCAATACTACAATTTCTTTTTCTTAAAACTATTCACACATCTACAAAAAGGTGGTTATCTTTCAAAATCACCTTTTTAAACATTTTCTGATACTGCTCTGCAACAGTTACATGATATAAAATATGATGTTGCCCCTCCAATGTCAAGGACAATAAATATAATTATTTGTTAAATATTACAGTACATTATATATAGTCAAATATATATAGTATAATATGTTGTAATTTATCTTAACATATATAATCCATTAATAAAATGGTAAATTCTGCTTGTTGCAGTGTGAGTATAGTATGTCTAAGAAATCTTTTAAGTAATGTATTGAGATTTAATTTTTTCCCAGTCTTTGAAGTTTTTTTTTTTTTTTTTTTTTTTTTTTTTCCCTTATATTTTTGAGCTTTAACAAGTTCAGTAGTTTGATTTTCTTCATTGCTATTTTTTTAAGGCTACTTTAGGAAAACTTTTTTTAATTGTCTTTCAAAAACAACTTTGTGGATATTCTAGATTCATTTTTTCTGTATTTTCTTCATATCGTTGTTATTTTCCCCCTTTTGTGTTATAGTTGCAAGGGTAACTGAATGTGTTGCAAATTTTGAGACAGTCTCTTTTTTTATTCAGCAAAGAGGGTTTTTTTTAATTATTATTTATTTATTTATTTATTTATTTTTTTAATTTCTACTTCTCATTCTATTAGAAGCATACTTGGTTTTCTTTTCATTCTTATGATGTTGTTCAGTATACTATGATGAAACAGGAACCTTTTATAATGCATAGAAACAGAAGAAGAATAAAACCTGTCATAAAACCTTAGGATTACAGATAGACAAGCTCTAAACCACCGGGAACTACTTAGTGATTCCTTGCATAAAGTAATATAGATTCAACTGCCTACACTCTGTCCCAAAAGGTTATAGTCTCAAGTAAATTACATGTTTAAGAGAAATATAAATGTATAAAATTGCCAATTAAAATATTTATTTAAAACACTTGTGGCTTGCATCTGAGTAAATATTTAACAAAAATATCAATTTGTCTTTCAGAAAAAATAAAAATAGAAAAAATGTGTTTCCCAAAAGTTTACAGACAAATGTAATTGTATGCAAATTGGTTAGCAACAATCATGATGAGGAACTTGAGCCTTTTATATGATAATGCCATCATTCAAACCTCAAATTTAATAAAGAAAAAAGATTGCATTTAAATATGCTTAAAGCTGCACAAATTTCTGATACTGAAGTTAATAGGATTCTGAACTTAAAATTGCATGGTAAGTCAATAAAGAAATTTTGAAATTTCTAAATCAATCTGTAAGCATGATTTATTGTGTAATGTCTTGTAAGATGCCACATCAGCCAAAACTACATTCAGGAAGACCCTGAGTGGTGGATAGTCTCAGCTATAGGTGAATACAAAAAAATGACTTTGGTGCAGAAAGAGTTGGTTTGCAAAATTACAAAGGCTTGTGAATTGCAAATAATCAAAAACACTGTTCATAGGCAAATCAAGGAATTAAATTAATGTTATTCACAAAAAAAAAAAAAAAAAAAGGGCTCAATCATTACTGCTCTCAAAGCTTCACAAATGAATGAGATTGCAATGGGCCTGTAACCTTATGGCATATAGTGACAAATGGGTTTATGTAATTTCTGTGTTTTAAAAAAATGGAATCTAAAGTGTCTTGACAGTATTCATATTACCAGCATGACTTAATAAAAGAACCTTGGAGCTATTTCAGTAGGCACAGTGGAAGTGGACCTGCTATGGTGTAGGCAGCTTTCGGTTTCAGTGAGCAAGTGAGTTTCACCTTTCTAGATGGGTGGCAAGATTCGTCTAATGCATAGAAACACTAAGAGACTATCTTATGGCATTTGCAGAAAACATTGGAGGACAGAATTGCGGTTACCAGCATGACAATGCTCCCATTCATACCTCTAATGCTGGAAAAAATTACTTAGACATGGAAAATGTCATTGTTCTTGAGTAGTCATTAGTGAGCTCCAATTTTAACCCAATTGAGAATGTGTGAATTGTTATGTCTCGGACAGTTTATGAAAATAGAGGGCAGTTTTCTTCCGCAAATTCCTTAAAATTAGTCATCAAGAGTGTATGGTACAGTATGGAACCAAATTTATTACAAAACTTAATTCTGTAGACAGAGAAATGTGTATTCGATGTCATGCAGAATAATGGGGCGAGTTCCAAGTATCAAGTAATTTGGAATGGAAGTTGCATGTGACATAAAGAAACAGATTTTTATTTGGTTTTTTGTGTTCCTCTCCATTTTTCTAGAACAAGTAATATAGTTGAGTCTATTATACACTTTTGGGACAAAGAGTATTTATTGTTCTTGCTTAGAAATTGGAAATTCAAGATAGCAAGAGATTTTAAGAAAATGATCTAAGATATCTATAGGGAAATACATTTGTTAGTGGTGAAACTGTGGAGAATTGTTTTTCTGGTATTCTTAAGGAATTCAAAAGAGATTTATGATATTGAAGTTCAGTTATATTGTACTTGAAAACTCATATAAAAAATAATTTAATAGTGTATATTTTGTAAGTATTTATAGCTGTTTTTAATTAAGTATCATCTGTGATAAGGATGTCTTGGATTAATTTTTCTTTGTGCCTTAAATTATATGTATAAGAAATAATAAATTTGTTTCCCCATCGGCATTTTAAAATTAAATAAAAACTTTTCTTTAGTAGCATTTTTTTCTATTTGCAGAGCCACAGATTTCTGATGTTTGCATTGAAGGTCTGGATCAAATTCGTGGGTGGTTTAATTCTTCCCTTTTAACTAGTATTGCATTGAGAGAAAAAGCACCGTATAAGTAAGTTCAACGCTCCATGAGAAAGTATTTTAATAGGAATTTTGTGCTTTTATGCTTTAGATCTGTCAGGACAATCTGAAAGTAATGAGTTGCTGGTGCATTGGTACTTATTTTAGAGTTCGTCATAGATTATTCATCTGCTGCATTACTAAATTATTATTGTTTACCTTATTCTTACATTAATAGATTACAATGCTGTATATAAGGGAAACAAATAGCACATACTCATCAAAATATTTAGCAACCCTGTTATAGATTTTTTCAGTTTAACATTAGATTAAAGTGACCAGATTTTTCAACAGCCAACCTAGAGTGAGATAATTATGGTAACTTAAGAAACAAAAAAAAAAAAAAAAAAAAAAAATTAAAAGAGTATTATTTCAGTGAACTCAGGTTGGACTCTTTGTACGATTAGTGGGCTTTGTTGCTGCATACTTACCACATTAAATACTTCATTGTACAAAATAACAGAACAACCAGCTGCTTAGAATTATTATATTCTGAAAGTATTCTGTCTAGCAATTACAAACACATTATTTTCTTCAAGGATTCTTCATTTCCTTTTATCAGGTGGCTAAGCTCTTCATACAATTTAGTAGTATTAAGTTTCATGATTATTACAGATTTAAGAAGGCTGTTAATTAATTGCATATTTTCAGTTGCTCCAATATTAGTTGTCAAAATGCAGACTCTATTATTGCATTGTTCCTAGCAATCGCAATTCAATAGTTAATGTTACAGTTTTTTTATTTATTTATTTTTAAATACTTAAGCTGAAAATGAAAGAATTCTAGATATGTTTTATTTTAATATCAGTTTTATACTTAGAACATTTATAAGGTATTTCTCCCGCCTTTCTAGCGTGGTGTAGTGGTTCTGCACGCTGGGCCGGTATTCAAGAGGTCCGTGGTTCAATTCCCAGCAAAGGCAATTGCTCATTTTTCCTCTTGCCTGCTTCCAAAAAAATTCTAATGTCTCTACAGTGGCACCTGAACTAAAAGGATGTTGGATATTGATTCTCCAAACCCAGAATTTGGCAATTGGGTCTCTTAAAAACCCCAGTTGCCCTTTAAAAGGGGGGTATATAAGGTATTTTTCCCGCCTTCCTAGCGTGGTGTAGTGGTTCTGCACACTGAGCCGGTATACCAGAGGTCCGTGATTCGATTCCTGGCAAAGGCGATTGCTCATTTTTCTTCTTGCCTGCTTCCAAAAAAATCCTAATGTCTCTATACATTGTTTAAATTTTCAGCTATTCACATATTTACAAGTGAAACATTTCATTGAATACTTTGTTATCAAATAATTGTCCTTCATCAAAATGTGTTTTTGAGAAAAGTTAAACTTTCCTCCACATTTTTGTATTTTGAAATATTTTACAGTGACTCATTCGAAATTCTGGAAATGACTTAATTGCACTATCCATATTTCCAAGTTCAGAGCATAATTCGAACAAAAACCCCAGAAATTCTTTCCCAAATTATTCATTATACGGTTATGCGAATTGCTTAAAATTTTATATCTGGAACACACAGTTGTATATTCTGTTCCAACATAAATATTGCCATGGAGTAAAACTTGTAACATTTATGGTAACTGTTTACATTATTATAAATATTAAATCCATGATATTTTTTGAAACATGCACTAAAATGAACCACACCACCTCAACTGTGTAAAATTCACAATACAATCCAAGACTTGTGATCACTTTACATTAGATACATATTATCATTTACAATACTATATTAATGTAACCGCCTTGGCTCAGTATGGTGATTTTTTACAGATGATAAGGTAAAAGTTACATAACAGATGCAAGTTGATGATTTTTGTGACTTCCTTTCAAAAGATCAGTGAACTATCTATATTTATCGCAAAACATGCTTTAACAATTTAAAATACAAATTTAAATAATTAAATAAGAATTATATCTTACATTAAAAAATTAAATGTATTTTCCACAAAAACTTTCTGTGATTTTTTGCGCTATCTGTTTTTGCTTAAAAAGCATCAGAGAATTGCATAAACTCCGCGTTGAGCAGCAGCTATCTGCCAAACAAAGCTCATCATTTTTTCCTTTAATGATTTTGCAATGAAATACTGTATTCCTGCAGTTTTTCCAATGCTGACAAATTCTACAAGCTTATATTTTAATATTAAGGCAAAAAATATTGTGGTTTCTAGGTAAAAACCTAAATGATTTGGAATACAACAAAAAGAATGCATACTAAAATTGCAAAGTTGCTGGATTGAAGAATATATTTGAACATGTTTGCCAGAGTTTTGTACATTTTGAAAATTTGGCGACTTTTACTAAGGTGAATGCATCAGTAAGTAAGTAATTACATTAGGTTATCTTTTTATTCATCTTACACAGAAGATAGGTTCCGCACAATACCGTGTAAATTGAAATCTTAAATTTTGCTATGTAAAACAAAAAACACACTAAATGTGCATAATTTAGTTACTTATTTACATAAAAAAGTAAGACATCTTAAAATAAATAATGTTATACTTTGTTCATAAAATAATAAATATATGTAGGTAATAAAAGTACATATTTAATTTATTTTATATTATGAAAATATAAGATCATCCAAAAAAAATTATTATAAGTTTAATCGCGGTCATAACTTTCATGATCTATTAGTCTTTTCTTCTTGATTGGTATGATGTCACTTTCATCACTTGAGCGTTCTAGATAAGATTCTGCTTCAATGGTTGACGAATTAGGGAAGATCTCAGATTGACAAGACTTTGTAGTGAAATCTGTAATTTCCGCCTAGGTTTTTTTTTTTTCCCTTAAATCTTTGTAAACCTCCTCATATTAATTTAAGCACTTACTAAGCTCCCGTTGGAATTGGAAAGCTCATTCAACATTCGTGTTATATTGTAAAAAATGATTACCTAATTTTCTTCCCAATTCAATCTGATGACGCTTGCTGTGAATACAACTGGTTCAGACTGCTCTTCATCATATTTATTTGTTTCATGAATCATATTAACTAACTCATCCTCATTTAGTTCTTCATCAGCCAGTATTTCTTAAATGTCCGCCTGAGCTAAATCCTTAAATCCTTCTCCTCCAATAGTTTGGGCCAATTCAGTGAACTGAGAATATTCATGCTCTAATGGCAATCTATCATTTTCATCTTTAGCAGCATTCAATCATATCGCTTTCCAGCATGCATTGAGTGTTGATTGTTTAATGAGTATATGACAGTCCAACATGCTTAACACAATCTGAGATTGTAAATTTCTTCCAGAAATCCATAAGAGTAAGAGATTAATTATTCTCCATTTGCTGTAAAATATACCTGAAGGTTTGTTTGATATACGATGCCTTAAAAGTCGAAATTATTCCTTGATCTAACGGTTGTAATAAGGAAGTTGTATTCTTTGGTAAAAAGACAACTTCTGACTTTTGTGTTTTTAAACCATGTAAATCGAGGGATAGGCATATTTATATAAAAATTCAGGATAAAAGTATTACTATGGTTTAACTCTGTTTTTCATTTTCATTTCACACATATATTTAAATATTCCATCAGATTAATTAATTGTAAAGCTGTTTCAAATTTTCGTTTTTTAAAATTATTACTTTTAGTTTAGTGTTTGAAAGGGGTAAAATGCAGTGTATGTCTTAAGCACCTATCAAAACCACAGATCTGTAAAATAATTGTTTTGAAGGGAATGCATTTAAAGGAGTAACTGTAAAAAAAGTAGTTAAAAATTAGGTTATGGCTTTATATAATATAGTCAGCTTTCTGTTAATTGGGTTACAGATTAACTGGGCCTTGTTTAAAAGAGGTTAAATTTCTTTAGTGTAAAATGATAGTAGAAAAATTAATGTCACAAACTTTCAGTTAAAGACAAATTTCTATGAGGAATGCAAAATATATATATATATATATAGTATATATATATATATATATATATATAATGGTATGAGATAATAGCAGCAATGACAACTGATCTTACTGTGTTTAGAAAATACTTTTATTCTCAACAATATGTAATTTAATTGATCATAATCTAAAGCACATGAATATTGTTAAAGCATCCATTAAAAATAAATTCCTAAATTTCAAAAATAAATTATATATACAGCTATTAATATTTTGGTTACTATTGACTCCTATTAAAATACAGTAATACAAACAAAAGCATTGTTTTTTACTGTTTTGAAGATTGTTCCTGATTTGGATGCTGATTTAACCCCTTAATTCTTTAGCCCGTGTCTGACATGGGCGAAAGTTACTGGCAAATTTGCGCATGCCCATGTCTAACACGGGCTCTCTTGTATTTCATGTTATTTTATTTCTAATGCCCGTCTGAGATCCGATCCAGTAAAAATATGTAGGTTAGATTATAATTAAACTTACTTAGCATAGATGGTATCACTATGCAGCATTTTCCTTGTGTAAACCAGGTGTTGCATTTTGATGATTAGCTATAATTTTGTTAGAAATCCTTTGTTATAAAGCAGTTATTTGGTGTGGAAAAGGTAATATATCCATTTTTATTACGTTAATATCATAAAAATAAGCAATTAACCACAAATTAACTTGAACTAAGTGGGTTTTTTTTTTTTTTTTTTTTTTTTTTTTGTAATTGTTTAGAAAACGTTATCTGATAATGAGCGACTCAGACGATCACAATTTTGAATATGCCAATTTATCAGATAGTTTCAGTGATGAAAGTGATGATTTTTTGAGTGATGGTTCCAGTAAATAGTTTTATCATTTGTTGCAGTAAAAGAGATGAGAAAGGTAAAAAGATAAGGAAAGAAACAAGATACTATTGTATGAACTATAATGTTGGATACAACATTACAGAGGGGTAAAAAAATAAGGAAAGAAACAAGATACTATTGTAATAACTGTAATGTTGGACTTTGTGTAGTACCAATGTTTCATGGTATATTATACCAAACTGAATTTTTAGTCATTCTTATGCTTGACAATTTAATTTTAATAATTTGAAATTCAAAATAAGCA